TAACTTGTTTAAGTAAATGACTCCTTAATATTGATGAAAAAGTCCAAATTCTTTTGGCAGATAAATTTACTTATAAGAACATTTTCCATTGTTATAAGTAGAATAATTTGCTGATGGAACAAGTACTTTTTCATCAATATTAAAGAATTATCTACTTAAAACAACCTATTATACCTTCCTGACAAGGTACTTTTAAGTTAGTTTTGTCTTAATTTAAGTTTAGTAAAATATTTGCACCCAGACTAAAAATACTTGGTAAGATTATGTATTTTTTGCAGTGTATTTGAGTTTTATAACAGCTGATTACTTAATGGTTCTACAAAATGCCATTATATGCCTGGAAAATACAAAACCCAAAATGACCTTTTGCTGGCAGGTGCCTGAGCTGGATGAGACGTACGCAGAGGACAGCTTTGTGGTTGGCAGTGATGAAGAAGAGGAGGGGAGTAACGAGGAAGAGCCTGAAGACGTCGAACTTCTGCCCGACGTGTCGCTCATTGATGGGAGACGGCAGTACGCAACCAGGCGCCGCATTTTCCTGCACAAAGCCAGAGCCCAGCCTGCTGCAGAGCAAAGCACCAGAACCAAACGCTCGCGGGTCGTCTGCCTGAGCGAGTCCAGCGAAGAGGAGACGGAGGAAGTGGGCAAAAATCAGAATCCAGCTCCCATCGGGCAGAAGACATTGTCCTCTGCTTATGCTAGCGTAGCATCTAAAGCCTCATTGATGAGTAAAGAACAGAGTGAAGAGCAGCAAAATGAAAGGTAAGTAGGTGCAATACATAGTGACTGTCTTCAGTCAGAGTCTTCTTCAGAGTTACAGTAATACAGACTGCTACAGAGATCTGTAGCAGCCATCTAAACGTATGGCCTGTCACAATAAGCAATAAATCAGTTACACAACAAATTAAAACAAACTCAATCATTTCCACTTGCATTATTTATTGTTTTTTTTCCCTTTCTACCAAAAACTGGTTGAGAAAAATCTTTATTCTGTTGCTTTGATCTTATTTAACTCCTTCGCAAAAACGTCTGCGACGATTTAAAGTCCAGCAAAATTTGTTATTGTAACAGGCTTATGGAGATACAAGCACAAAACAAGAAGAACAACAAGAAAGTTTCTAGAAAGTTTGTCAACAGTTGAGCAGCCCTTCCTTTGCCTATTTTAGATCACTTAAATGATCCAAGTCGTTTTCTAATGATATCATGGGTCTAATGCGATTCATGTTACTGATTTCTTTCCCAGCCCTGGTCATTTCCTGTTTTTCCTGCAGGTGTCGTCGGAGGTTAGAGAATCAGCATCTGCTCTCGGATGAGCTCGACTTCGCAGAGCCAGAGCCGACTTCAATAACGGTAAAGAAATTCTTCGGTTATTAAGAGAGAATAGCTGTGTTTCCATTCACTATAACTCTGTGAAAACAAATTTGCTCAGTAGAAAGAACAGTTTCGGAAAAACTGCAGCCGTATCGACAGATTTACTTTGCAAAACCGCGTATTTTTACACCAACTTCTATTTTGAAAACATTCGCACTTTAACTTTACACCTTTAATTTGATTTTTTATTTATGTATATATATTTAAATTTTTTATGTTGTATATTAAAGGTTGCTTTGATAAATTCTCAATTCATTTTGGGTTGTTTGTGTTGCTTATTTGTTTAGTTTTTTTTGTGTATGTGTTGTGAAAACATAACGTATGGTATCTTTTTGAGGTTGATTGTAGATGTTGAAAATAATAATAAAAAGCTTTGAGTCACGTGATCAACAACCGGATGTTACTACTGGGGGAAAAAACAAAGAAGATGACAGGAAGTAGTAAGAGGATGATGGATTCAGTGTTTGTTTCCGAGTTGTGTGCCATTTAAATATGTTGAATGTATTTCTTTTCTGTAAAATTAACAAATATTCAATAACTTCCCAAATGCCACATATGTAGCGCTCCCAAATATAACGTGTTTGACGTGACTTAACATCTTCTCTGACTCCTAATTATGAGCTTAATTTCAGTATTAATGCGACATACTCTTGTTTTTTTATTATTATTATTATTTTTACACACTTGTAACAGAAGCTCAGTGTGTAACCTCTCACCCTAACTTTGCAGGGTCTCCCTTCCGCGTCCTCAGCGGCTCGGGGATCCGCTCCTCAGGATCCGGTACCGCCGCCTCTCCCCGGGTCGGTCAGCATCCTGGTGGACAGCCGCTGCACCGGCGGCATGGTGGAGCTGGTGATGAGTCTGCGTCAGCGCCACGGGGCCGACGTCCACGTCTGCTCGCTGGACGGCAACTACTTCATCGTGAGCAACCGCATGGCGGCGATGAGACAGAGCCAATCGGATTTGGCCGCGATGCAGAACCGGAAGCGACTGGCGGAGAGATTGAGCAACATGCAGGGGTTGTTTGAGCGAGTGTGTGTGATAGTGGAGAAAGATCGATCCAAGCAGGGTGGGTTTCAAGATTTACGGCCTGATTTAGAGCTGCACTGTGTAACTTTTATAAAAATGTGTTGGTTTTTCCACCATGTTGTGACAATATGGTGTAAGACAAATCTGTGAAAAATTAAATCTCCTGTCTGAACAAATGAACCGCTCCCAGTCAGAAACAACCAATCAGAGCCAGGAGGCGGTTCTTAGCACTGCTAAATGTTAAAGGCAAAGAAATTACTGGAAAATCCTTTATCCAGTATCATCATTAGCTTTGCTAACTATCCTTAGCATTCATGACATTCTGCACTGGCTGCAGTGTAGCAGAGAGCAAATGGGGACGGAGGAGAAAGATGGAAAGCCACACCAGCTTGTGATTGACAGCGCTAGGATCCGCCCCCTGGTTCTGATTGGTTATTTCTCGGTATTAGAGAGAGAAGGGAGAGGAGCTCCAGTTTTTTTTTCACATACTGCAACAGTTTTAACAAATATATGGAAGACAGATCTTTGTTAAAGTTGCTACTGAAAAGCTGTAAAGTTATATTTACAAAAATATGTTTTTTCCATATTTGTTAAAATTTTCACCAAATGGCATGTACGGTATGGAGACAGATAATTGTGAAGAAAATTGATTTTCTGTACCTCTTCTCGATCAAAACTAATCAGAGCTAGGTGGAAAGTATTAACACTGTCAATCAGGCTTGTATATGCGCTGCTCAATGACCAAATGGCAGAGAAACAACTTGCAGTTACAGGCAAACTGTTTTTCCACCATCGTCTGCTGCTATGCTAAATAGCATTAGCATCTGTGGCACGGTAAGTTGTGCTGAACCAGCTGCAGCATACATGAGGTTTATTGACAGCGCTAAGCCCCTCCCCCTGGCTCTGATTGGTTGTTTCTGACTGCAAACGACATGTCAAAAATATTTTTTAATAAAAGTGACAAACAAGCCTGACCACTTCTGTTTACGACGCAGGTGAAGTTTCCCGCCCTTTCCAGCGAACCCGTTACTATGACAACACTTTAGTGGCCCTGGTCCGGGCCGGCGTTCGCCTGCTGTGGAGCGACGGCGCCGAGGAGACCGCCGGGTTGTTGGCGGACCTGGCCAAGCTGGAGCACCGTAAAGGTCAGGGCATCGCGGTGCCCCTGAAGGTCGAAGGTCAGCGCAGGGAGCAGGCGCTGCAGATGTACCTGAGCCTGCCTTCGGTCAGCCATGTTCACGCTCTCAACCTGCTGCACAACTTCCGCTGCGTCGCACAGCTGATGAACAGGTAAAAGTTCTGACGGAACCGTGACGGGTCCATCTGTTCATCCATCCAGTCAACTGTTCATCTCTGTTCACTCATACATCTGTTCATCCCTTCATCTATCCAACCATTTGTCCATCTGTCTGTTTGACCGTTTGTTTGTTCCGACATCCATCCGTCGGTTCAGTTATTCCTCCGTTCGTCCCGTCATTCATCCTTCTATCCATGCAACAGTTTATCCCTCATCCATCCATTTATTCGTCAGTCTGTGAATGAATCATTTAATTTATTCTGTAATTGAGTCAGTAGAGAATCTGGACAACTCAAATGCGTCGTAATTGTGTATTTTCTCCTCGTTTTTTACTTCCAGCTCTGTTGAGTCCATCCAGAAAGGCGGGTGCATGAGCCGATCCAGAGCCGAGGAGATCTACCGCTTCCTGCGCCGTTCCTCTGACTCCACCCTCTTCATCAAAACACCCAAACCTGGAAAAACTGGCTAGAGCCCCGAAGGAGACGCGTAACCCGGCAGACAATTAAGCTGCTTTGGCAAAAATATCGAGGCTCAAAAGTGCAACAATTCAATAAATATTCTGAAAGTGAAAACCTGCATGGGATATTGAAAACAAAAAATGGGAATACATCCATTAAATTTTAAACACATTAAGATGTTCAATTTCATCTACATTTAAAAGTCTGCTGATTATATATTATTGAATTATTGCACTTTAGTTCCCGATTTGCTGATTCCAGTTACTGTGTAACTTTGTTGAAATTCCTCAGTGAGAGAAACGCCTCGTCTTTTGCACAAGTTAAGTAAACCAGGGGAGTTTAATACCAGCTGAGGCCGGCCTGTAGTTTATATGAACTACAGGCCGGCCTCAAAATGTATTGAATAAAAAGTTTTGCTTACAAAATAGTCAAAATTGTATGAAATCTGTACATGGACTCCGGATTGTTGGATCATACATAGAAAAATATATTTTTTTTAATTCTTGTCTTGCAGTCATGGCCAGACAAAATAATTTCAAAGGCAACAAATGGCCCCTGGGCCTTACTTTGGACACCCCAGAGTTAAAAAGGAACAAACCTCAACATTAAAGTTGATGAAATGTTTATTTTTAATTCTCATCTTTTCAACCAATTTCTTAACACTAAGATCCTGATCAAGAAATCTGAAGCACACTTTTGTCAAATAATGTTCAATAAATAAAATAAAATTTTTATTTGTACCGATTTGCTTTTTGTTTTACTCGTAATATTGTTTTTCACCGCCAGAGGTCAGCATCTTCTGACGTCAAACTGCTTTCATTTTCCACAATTAACAATTGTGCAAATTGTCATAGAAAACAAATCTTTATTTATCTTTTTAAAGATCTACATTTGGATGGCTACTTTGGTGCAAAGTATCGTACAGAATACAAAGCAGCATTCGGCTAAAGCAGTCCTTCCAACTCAAAAAAAAAATTACAAAAAAGATTTACAAGTCATTCTAAAGTCTACACAACAATCAGCAGCACCTTCACATTAATGTACATCATGTCCAGCACAACACTCACCGTCTACATACAGGGATATTACATGTTTCTGCATAATTACTGGGAAATTTAACCCACATTTAAGCTCTTGAGTCTCAACATTCATCCAGTATAATCCATGTTATTCAGTAAAATATGCAGGCATGTAAAAAGAGCAGCTATTGGTGCAAATGGGCGAACTAGCTGGTCTGCTGCTGCCCCCTGGTGGACAAAGTGACTTCTGATAACAGTTTTCATTTCTTCCAACCCAACTCAACACAGCATTCAGTGTTTTTAATAGTTACTGCAAAAAAAAAAGAAAAAAAAAGGAAACATTTCGCCTTAGTTTCTTCAACCATTAATGTGGTTATTATAAGGTGCTTCTTTAAAATGCAGACTTACATTTGAGTTTATCTGAGAAAATATCCAAAAATGTATTTATGTAACACTGAAAGGAGGTTAAAGTCACACAAAGCAAGCCGACCTATTAAAAATACTTTGGGAATGTTTTTGTAAACTATTCTCCCTTATTGCAAGATGCCAGATAATCATGATAGTTTTGATAAGTTAATGTCATAGAAAACAAACAGAATAACTGCACCGACTTACATGCATGCAGTCACTATCTGACCTAGATAGTGGGGATGCACGATAAATATCAGAACCAACATCGGTAGCGGACAAAATTAGTCAGATATGAACTATCTATATTCATTTAACCCCCCAAATGCGTCGTAAAAGGTAACTGTAAATATCAAATACGGCTATTGGCTCATATTTATGCATTCTTACTAAACAGCATTATTGTTTTTAAACTTGTTTGTAACAACTACAGTAACGATATAGTATGGGTGCACCGATTTATCTTGGTTGATCGGTTGATACTTGCATGTAAAGCCGATCTTATTTCAACTGCACATTTGCAGTTAACAACAGTCACCCCACTGTTACAAACTGCTACATTTACCAACATTTCAGACAAAAAAACAAACAGTATCGTCCAAAATCAGAATCGGTGTTTTTTTAAAGATACAGAAGCATTACCAGAAGCTAACTCCAAACTGCTAAACATATAAAATAAGCGGAAAGCAACGCTAACCATGAACATGACTGCAGAATCAATGTGTGTTTCTTATTTAAAGATCTGAAATCGGCCTAAAAACTGCAATCGGTGCACAATAGAACTATTGTGCAAAAGCATGGGTGAGAAACAAAGCCATATATACACACAATTTCAGCTTTTAGTTTAAAAAAAAAGTTTTTAAATACCACAGACTGATGGAGAGGAGCGCATCGGCTAACCTGTGCCTTACATGCTGGTTGGCTGCGGCTGCAGCTGCACGGCGGGCTCAGAGTTCTGCATGCTGCATTCCTCCTCCCGTCGCATGTACATTAAAAACAGAGTCACAGTGGCGAAGGTGGTGGCGTTGACCGGGAACGCGCGCAGCAGCGTGGACGTGAGTCCGCGCGTGAACACCCGGTACCCCTCCTTCTGTAAGCTCTGCCTGACGCAGTCCGCGATCCCGCCGTACTTGTTGACGCCGCCGACGCCGTCGGCCTGCAGCCGCGACTTGATGACGTCCACCGGGTACGTGGAGAGCCAGGAGGCGATGCCCGACATCCCACCGGCGAACAGCAGCTTCGGGATCATGTACGGGTCCTCTGGCTCGCAGCCCAGCGAACGCGTCAGCACGTCGTACGCCAGGAAGTACACGCCGAAGCCGGGCGTCTCTCGCAGCAGCGTGGTCACCATGCCGCGGTTGATGCCCCGGAACCCTTCCTTCCTGTAGATTCTCACCAGGCAGTCCAGGGAGTTCTTGTACAACTTCCTCTTGGACTTCTTCTCGCCGGTTCCCTGCATCTGCATGCGTGTCTTTGCCAGCTCCATCGGGCAGCAGATGACGCACTGGATGGCTCCGGCGGCGGCGCCCGCCAGGAACTGGTTGAGGGGCGTGTCGCGGCCGAGCTTCCGCATGGCGTTGCCTTGGACGCCGAAGACAATGGCATTGATGAACGTCAGCCCCATCATTGGAGAACCGATGCCTTTATACAGACCGAGCATCTGTAGAAAAGACAAACAAAAGTTTTCTTTCACCTGGGTTTATAAAAGAAACATAAAACGAGACGAAGACGTGCAACAGATGAAGACACCTTAACAGTTAGCTTTACTTTCTGATCATGCTGTGTGTTTAGCAGTTTGGATTTAGTTTATAGCAATGCTTTTTGTACTTAGCATTAGCTTCCGCTACTTTCTGAGTTTGACAGTTCATTAGATTTTAGTATTTTTTGTTGTAATACTAGCATTAGCTTCCACCAATGAAGTAGCCAACTACTGAGTTTGCTAATGTTTGGTGGTAGCTAGCTTCCTAATGGCAAAAACTATTGCTGGTTTTTGTGCTAACATTTATTCTCCATTATAACCATGGAAGCCATTTTGAAGTATGTCCACCAGAAAAAAAAGAAGAAAAAAAACATTAATATATATGGTTTTCATGGTTCAACATATGTAGGCTATGATATGACAAACACGTTCATCTAATTGGGTATTTTAGTGTAACCATGTAGAAAAAAGAAAAAAATCTCAGTAAATATTTAAACAGCCTAATCATGCCTTATTTGACACCAAAAATATGCATCTGTGGCAAATATTAGCAAATGTAGCTCAAAAATAAATTTGTTTACATCCTGAATTTTCCAAACAAGCTCCTGGGAACATCTTTGCCAGTTTAGGTTCTTTAAAGATTTTTCTGAAATATTCAACCACTAACTTACAATCATGACTCCAAATAAATGCAACCAAGTTTGTAAGAAGTGAAATGTTACAATCATAATTCTACCATGTGTGAAAGTGATGAGACCAAGCATACGCCACGAATAGCACAAAAGTCCAAAGCCTTATTTGGCTCACTGATCTCAGCTGAAAGACACTCCTCTCTGTAAGGTGGGGCTGATGCATGTAATCCCAGATGGAGCTGAAACTAGACACTTAAAACCCAAGAAGGATAAAAGAGAAGAGGCCAACACTTACCGATTCTTGGCGCACGATCGACTGAAAGCAGTGCAAAGTCCCGCGGTAAAGAGGTTTGTCCACATTTTGTACCTGAAGCCGCACCTGGGGACGACAGTGCTAATGTTAGCGGAGCGTTTGAAAGACACAAAATAAAGAGCACAGTGACTAAATATCACTGCAAAAACACAAAATCTCACCAAGCAAATTTGGTCTTTTTTTATAGTGCAAATATCTCAGTACACTTGAAATAAATTCTAACTTTTCAATAAGTAAGTCTTTAAAATTGCAGAAAAAGTACTTGTTACATTAGCAGATTATTTTACTCATCATACAGTTTTCTCAATGTTTTAAGTGAAATAATTTGCCAGTTTAACCAGTACTTTTTCTGTCAATATTAAGAAATTATTCACTTAAAACAAGCTTCAATATCTTACTGACAACTTGCTTATAAGTTAGTTTTTATATTAAATGTACTAAGGTACCATGTTTTCATAAAACTCCCCATATAGATGTTATTAATTTATCTCAACACTTTCTAAATAATTAATAACTGTTATGCGTCAATTGAGAGAAAGAGATTAAACCAACTAGTTTCCTTTCTCACCTATTGATTTTATTGCACTAAATGTTTCAGACTACGTTATTAACAGTTATTAATGATTTAGAAAGTGTTTATAGAGCTTTAGTCATCTAAAGTTGCACTAGACCAAAGATACTTGGTAAAGTTGTGTTTTTCCAGTGAACAAAGCAGGAAAATAAGCAGACAATCATTCGTTTGAGGGGTTAAAATGCTTATGGGGTGCAGCATTACCGAGTAAAACGTTGAGTAAAATAAAGAAAGATAAATAAGTAGGAGGGAAAAAAAAGAAAATAAAAATGCCTTCTTGGCTTTTATACTTCTATAGCTCAAGACAGGACATTGGGTGAAATAAAGAAAGACCTGGACCATACTTACTAGGTCACATTTCCGTGGAGAGGTTGTTTATTTCTCTCTCTCATCTACAACACAGTGACACTGTAGCTGTTAAAGACAGCCGCCCCGAGCCCCAAGCAGACACCGGCTCAGGGAGAAATGACATCAAACAGCAAGGTGTAAAAAGAACTACAACCAACATCCATTCAGCCTCTAAAACAAGCTGCAACACTAACATTCACCATCATGTGAAGAAGCTTCCTCACCAGCGGACGCTTTTCCAGCGCGGACATATTGACGTTATGACGTTCACACTGCACCCGGAAGTGACCAGAATCCGATTATATTTGTTTTCCTTTTGCCTTAAAGCAATCCGTATCCGATTTTTTATGACAGTCTGAAGAACACATATTGGATTTTTTTTATGACAGTCTGAAGAACACATATTGGATTTTTTTATGACAGTCTGAAGAGCACATATTGGATTTTTTATGTGGGTCTAAATTCGTTGTACGTTCATCCGACCGGAACGTCGTTGATTCTCGACTATTCTGCATCCTGACGCGCAAACGTAATGGAAAAACAGCAAACAACATTATGGCGGACAATAATGAGCGTCAGGTTGTGAATGTGAGAACTTTAAAACCGTAAGTTATTAGCCTCCATGTTCACTTCCGCAAACTGTGCACTTCTTTTTAGCATTGCGCATGCTCACTACGTGTGACGTTACTGCACCCTCGACTGCGCATGCGGGACATTTCAGGTCTTTTTTTCCCCATATAAATCGCATATCTGTACGGATTATCAACTGGAAAACTCCCTGGATTATATTTAATCGTAAATAATGTGAAGGAAATGTCATTTAAAATTCTTCATAAAATTTACCCTGTGGAAAAATGTAAAAATACTGTGACACATCTTTTGGCACCAAACTTCGGAAGGAGGTTTATTAATAACCATATTTTAACCTGTTTTTACTAAAGTTAGGGAAACGTTTTAATCCGTTTTTCTAAATTCCCCAGAAAAGATCCTAAAAAATGTTTTATATAACGAACTTGCACATTTGCTTTGCTAAATTTTACATTTATGTATGAAAATTTACCAATAAAGCACAAAATTTTCCTCATTTTATTAAAGATATGAAACTATACATTAAATCAATAACAATCTACAAATGAAAATACCCTCAGAATAATTTCTCTATGTAAATATTTTGTATACTTGTCATTTATTTAAATTAAAAAAAACACATTTGGAAAAAATGACCATAAAAACAATACAAATAAAATCAGTTTTGGGTCACTTCAGGTTGCAGTGTGAACATATCCTATGAGTTACTGGATTCATTCAAAACGCTGCCAATATTCACACACATTCTCTGAAGTAACGACAGCTGACCAGAAGTATAGTTTTCTTAGGGTTTTGTAGTTTAAGAAAATTAATAACTGGGTTGGATTAGGAAGTATTGTCCCCTCTGAGGATTTTCTGGCCCCAATTTAGTGAAATTTACTATAAAAACAAAACATACATGGGAAAAATAATTACAAATTTCATCTTTATGTTGAAAATGTTTATGTTCTGTTCGTTAAAAAAGTGTCAATTCAGTAAATTATGTTTATTGCCTAACAAAGGTGAAAGAAAATCAAAGGAAGGAATTGGGAAACACCCACCTTTACAGTATCGAATGGATGGCCGACCAAAACACCAGCAGCACCTGCAAAAAACTAAAACTTAATATATACAACAGTATATCTGTGCACCGATTGCAATTTTCTGATTCCTGGTTAAATTTTTTATCAGAAGAATCACTAAATATAATAGCAGCAAGTCCAAGCAGAAAGCAAATAAATCTTGACTATAACTGCTTGATTCCTGTTTAATATCTGGGTTTTAATCTTTGTTTTGCACTATGATGGTTGCTGTAAATTGTGAAGCACTTTAATCAACTGCAGTTGGTTTTAAATGTTTAAACGACTGACGGTGAATCGACACCAGCGCCATTTAATCGAACTGTAGTTTGTTTTTCTAGAAAGTTGGGTTCATTTGGGAAGGTATGAATGCGCAATTAAACCGCTAAAAACTCAGAGCACTCCAAAAACAGGAAGTGGACCACAGAGCAAGGCATTCTGGGTGAACCAGAAAACATGCTAGCTTAGTGCTAGCAGGAGAAATGGCTTGTAGTCTTTTACAAACGACCAAAAAATCCTACAAACATTTGTTAACTAAGGAAGTTGAATTCTGTCTTTATTTTGGTGTTTTCATGTTGCTTTTTCAGCAATTCTTGGTATATTTTCCCTTAATTTAAATCATCCTTCAGCTTTTCATGTGATATTAATATTTACCTCATATTCTGACATAAAAAATGTAAAAAGCAAATTATTTTTCTCAGCATTGGAGATAATATTTGTGCAAATTATGACAAATTGTAACATTTTTGAGCAAATCTGTTTTCATTTTGGCATTTAATCAAGTTTTATCATATATTTCTGCAGCTGTAAATGTGTTTTTTATACATCTGTGGAAGCCTTTGTTTTTTGGCTCCCTTTGCGGCCCGGCCAGCTGTCGAGTTATCAGTTGGTCGCTGCACCTTAAGCAGTGACGTCAGTCGTAACGCAGCCTGTCCTTGACTCGTGTCAATGATCCCAAAACTCAATTTTATACCAATTATCTCCATCTACAGGCCAAAGCAAACTTTGAAAACAAAAACATGCGTAAAAATGAACTTTTTGTGATAGACAGGAAGGTTTAAATTTGTAGGGAAACGCAGAGTGTCGATTCTCAGCTGGTTTTAACTCGCTGACCTTTGTGGGCGAGAAACATTTCTGACAAAGTTAATATGACCCTAAGTGGGTCATTCATAGAACATCATAAGTGAGTTATTACATGGAGAAAAAACAGACGCTGCACTGCAAAAACGAAATCTTACTAAGTATTTTTGGTCTAGTTTCTATTGCAAATATATTATTACACTTTAATGAAGACAAATCTAACATACAAGTAACTTTCAGCAAGAAATGTCATCTTTATAAATCCATAATATTGTTTTTTAAAAAGTACAGATTATTTCACTTGTAACAAAACATTTTTCCAAAGTAACAGATACCAGTTTCCAGAATACCAGTTTAAATATAAACTGGAGGAATTTAAAATGTTTTATTTGTTCACAGTCTTTTCCTCTTGCCACATCATTTAAACTGAATTTCTAAACGGTTTGAATACAAAAACTGGCGTCTCAATTAAAAATAATGTCTGAATCGGATCTCTAGACTCTGAAATATTTGCATTTTTATTATTAACTGTTGATTTTGTTTGATAAGGTGCCACCTGCACCGCCCTCCAGACTCTTCCCAGATGTTTGCAGCACAGCCTTGAGTGAAGAACCAAACAGCTGACAAGTTTCCCAAACGTTTTTGTTGCTGCTTTTCAGTGGAAACAAGTTTTCCAAGAATGAATGAACTCAGGACTCCCACAAACTTCCCAGATGGCAACTTTTACGATAACATTGAGCAAAAAACATCTACTTCGTATCCGTTTCATGAATCCTGAAACGCTGAGCTGTTTCTCGGCTTCTCATTCAACAGTGTCGACATCTGAATCCACTCTGATCATCTATAATTCAACATCTACGAATTAATTATCCAAAGTTATTTGAGGCACAATTTGTGAGCAAGAATGCAAAACCAAAGACTTTCTTTGGGCTTTAAGCGAAATCCAGTATGAGAACAGCACATTTTTAAATGCTGTTTTAAGATCCTCGAAAGCCCAAAAAAAGCACAAATTTTCTAAAAAAAGAGATACAATATAATCTGTCTGCTTTGATAGTAGGAGCAGTCTTGATAAAAATGTTTAAAAAAGCAACTAGACTTTCTTAATACTTCAGTTTTGTATAGCAAATTTAACCCAGCAACATGTTGGCAACCATTTTCTCTGTACACTACGCCTGTAATGTTGCGACATGACAGGAAAAAAACAAAAATGTTGTATTTTTTAAGTGTGCATTTGTCTGAGTTACTTAAACACACACAAAAACATTTATGTATCGAACTAAAGTTGTCCAACTTTAAAGTTAAAAGACAATCTTTACAGGAATTTTAATGTTTGACTGAAACATAAATAATCTGGAAGCTAAAACATAAGTGTTCAACACTTCCTTGTGATTTTCTATGGTAAGCTAATTATTTCATTTTCTCTTGATTTACTGGTTCCTTGTTTTCTTTGTTTGAAAAAGTAAATGTAAAAAATTGCCCAACTTTAAAGTTAAGACAACTTTTACATTATTTTGACTGAAAACTCAAGACTCTAATCTTTTGAATCATAAGAAATAATCTAGAAGCTAAGACATACTAAGAGTCTTCACCGCAAACAAAAAAGAAATGGTAATCTAATTATTTTGTTCTCGTTTATGCTTACCTGCTTCAAATTAATTTATTGAACAAAAGTTCCCAAACTTTAAAATTAAAATACAAAATTTTCACTAAAATCTAAGATTTCAATCTTTGGGATCATAAGAAATCATCTGGAAGCTAAAACATAAGAAATGTTCACTTCTTCCCATTTATTTTCAAACAGAACAGTAATTTTGTTTTTTTGTTTTTTTTATTTTTAACCATTTGAAATGAATAAAGTAAACGTTTCCAGTTAATTTTCTTTCTTATTTCTCCAATATATATGTGCATAAACTGGTCGCATACTTCTGAACCCAACCCGTTGTCCTTTTATTGTGCAACTCCCCAATGTGTAATAATGAAGATGATTAATGGTGAGTCAATCCAGGACAGAAAGAAATGGGAGTGTTAAGTTTATTAAACTCTGTGTCAGCTGGAGAAAGATCAGAGTGCTGGTGTTTCCTAATGCAGCTGCTGGAATGTTGGGAAACACGCTGGGAATCACCAACACCCAGCTGCAGATCCCAAAAGTTCCATCCGGGTTACTACCAGCCCAGAAAAATACATTCATTAACAAATACTTGCTAATTCACAGCCTCCACTTTATCACCATCACTCTATGTTGTTATAAAAGATGATGTCGACCCGGAGGAGGTTTAAAACTCGCAGCTTTTCCTTTGGTTTTCCACCTGAATGAGCTTCCCCTTATGGAAAATCACCGGCGCGGCTAAAGCTAATGCTAACAGCGATGCTAACTCACAGACAGGAAAATAACACGCACTCACCTCCCACACATCCAGCGGCGAAGTCGAGGGCCATTCCTTTAGAAAATTAACAAGTTGGAAGCCTTCACTGGGACTTGAGATGTAATTCAGAATGAATTATAAAAGAATATATCTGTTTTTGGGTCTGATAGAAGCAGCAGATTTACCCTCCGGCTCGGTGGTCAGCCCGGCTGGAGAAGGTAAACAGCTAGTATCGCTAATGAAACCGGCTCTCACTCCGAGGAAATACTCTTAATTTGTCCCTCTTACTAGAGCTGTTCTCCCTGCCAGACCTTTCTATTTCTGTACGGCGGCAGAAGGCGGAGGTGTGCCCTTTTTAAGGCAGCCCAATCGGCTTACTTGCTTGCAGACAACTCCCCTAGCGAGCCCTATCCACCCCCCGGATCCATTGGCTGCTGCGGCTTAAATGAGGGTTAAAATTGTCGCGGCTGATGCCACAGCGTCAAAATCAACAGTGTTATCGCCGTGGTCCTCTGCAGCTTGCGTGGGTTTGCGAAAAGAATGGTCTGCTGCAAACTGCGTGACCCCTGAGCAACGTGAGCTGCAGGATACTGAGGCAACACATCAGTATTTAGCCACTTGAGCAAAAAGGATGCACAGTAAAACCATCCTCAATATTCTTGAAAAGTTTAACTATTAAAAAATAAAGGAGGCCACACAACTAATTCATATGGCTGCATTTCCTTCTTTGCATTCCTGCAATTAATCACCTGTTCATTTAATATTTTCTCACATGTATTATTATCGATTGATATTGATCAAGTTTCTATCACGATACATATTGTTAGCCCTAAATTATGGTCAACAATCATTGGTAAAAACTGCTGACTGATTATAAGCCAAAAAAAGCACAAAAAAAGAAGCAAAACAAATTATTGTAAAATTGAGTGGAAAGAAAAAATGCAGTAGAAACAAGGATAACAGCAGCCTTGAGAAGATGGTGAGGGAAAGACCATGCAAGAGTTTTGGACAGATTCACAAGGTGAAGACCCAACACAAAGACAAAACTAAAATATGTTACTCATGTTCAGCCATCCTTAAACAGAAATAACATCAACTAATTTGAGATGAAAGTAATGTTTGCATTTCAAGAAGAGGATGAGAGACATGAGAACCAACAACCCAGATGAAACAAAAAGTGGGAGAGAGGCAGGAAAATCTCAAGTTGTTGGGGTGAATGGATGCAGCAGAGCAGGTATTGGGTTTCAGGCTGAGCATGCTCTGATAGGTGAGTCTTTTACCCAAGTAAATAATAACTGACTTTACTCTGACAAGAAAGGACTTCACTTATTATGCACTTATTAAATATATTAGTCTCGTTTCTAATGTAAATATGTCTCTACACTTAAAATAAGACAAGTAACTTTTCAGCAAGATATAAAAGCTTGTTTTACATCAATAATTTCTTAATGTTGACAAAAAATACTAGTTCTATTGGTAGATTATTTCACATAGTAGTTATTTTAACCAATATTAAGGAATTATTGACTTAAACAAGCTCCTATATCTTGCTTAAAATTTGCTTATTAGTCAGTTTTGTCTTATTTTAAGTGTACTAAGATATTTTCACTAGAAACTAGACAAAGAAAACACTTGGTAAAAGTTTACTTTCAAAATTCAACTTCACCTTAAATGTTGATGTAACTCATATAGATTTGGTTAATGATAACGTTACCCAAACCATGAATTTCAGTAATTACATTCAAACTAATCAAACTCAATTTCTCAGAAAAAAATACTAAATAATAACTGATTCAAAATAAATTTTAAACACAGAAATAGTCTTAATTATGGAAAGGCTGAACAATATTACAATATCATGAAATATGTGTCTTATATATATATCAATAATTTTTTTATTAGTTTTTCTGTTTTAAATATTTGGAATAATTTCCTGTTTTATCCATAGTTTTCACACCACATTTATTTATTTATTTATTTTTTTCATTTCTAAGCAATTATGAGGAATGGAGGCGAAACCTGAAACTGCTGCTGCGCAAGTGACTCAACGGTCTGTTGCTAGGTAACCAAAGAATGAGTGAGTTGCTAGGTAACAATAACTGAATACCAGCTTGTTGCTGTTAAGTCGGGTTTACGTTTGGAAAAGAACGGCGCAGACCTTCATCTCTGCAGAAACCCTCAGCCTCAGATGCAACAAATCCACTTTCTTATCCATGAATGGACACCGGCCAGAAAGACGGTCGGAAATGGTGGCTTCCAACATCAGCTGGGTTTCCCCTTTTTCTGTTTTCGGGCACCATGTGACCGTTGGTCCTGGAACCCTGCTGTGCCAGTCCATTGTCCTCAAGAGCCGCTGTCTCCCAAGTGTGTATTTCAGCCTTGGTGATGTATTACCAGCTCAACTGTCTCCAGTGGCCATCAGCTGCAGCTGTAAAGTTTGTTTTTATTCAAACTTCAGCAGTTTTCTAGTTGTCCTTCTGAGATAGTGACATCAATTTGTGACATCACACAAAGAGTGATGCACCCTTTGTGGAGTGAGAATGCATCACAAATCTGCACTTGTGAATTCATAACCATTGCAGAAGCTGGAGAGGAAGGATAAGGATTGTACTAATTGTACTAACAGGCGAATAAAGGAAAACACTGATACATTTTTTGATTTGTCCAGAGAAAGTCTTAAAAATGAGTAGGAGCAGTAAGCCATCAACTTCTGGTTGCGAGAGGGGGAAATTTCAACAGATTGTAGCGAGAGAGACCGAGAAGCTACAAGGCATCTTGAAAGAAGTTAGCATGATGTCCACTGAAAGAGATGCTCTGAATAAGGCAAATGAGGAGGTGAGCACACTGAAGCACAAAAACAGTGATCTGGAGGAAAGAAACAACGTCCTGGAGAAGGAAAAGGCCAATATGGAGAAGAAAAACGACAGCCTGAAGAAGGCAAAAGCTGCTTTGGAGCAGAAAAGCAACGTCCTGGAGCAGGAAAAGGCTGCTCTGGAGCAAAAAAGCAATGTCCTGGAGAAGGAAAAGGCTGCTCTGCAGCATAAAAGCAACGTCCTGGAGAAGGAAAAGGCTGCTCTGGAGCAGAAAAGCAACGTCCTGGAGAAGGAAAAGGCGGCTCTGGAGCAGAAAAACAACGTCCTGGAGAAGGAAAGGGCTGCTCTGGAGGAGAAAAACACCTCCATGGAGCTCCAAAGAGCTTCATGCTCCAAAGCGTTGGAGCAGGAAAACAACATCCTGAAGAAGGACAAGGCTGCTCTGGAGGAGAAAAACAACGTCCTGAAGAAGGAAAAGGCTGCTCTGGAGCAGAAAAGCAAAGTCTTGGAGAAGGAAAGGGCCGATATAGTGAAGAAAAATGACACCCTGAAGAAGGAAAAAGCTGCTTTGGAGCAGAAAAGCAATGGTCTGGAGAAGGAAAAGGCTGCTCTGCAGGAGAAAAACAACATCCTGAAGAAGGAAAAGGCTGCTCTGCAGGAGAAAAACAACGTCCTGGAGAGGGAAAAGGCCGATATGGTGAAGAAAAACGACGTCCTGAAGAAGGTAAAAGCTGCTCTGGAGGAAAAAAGCACCACCCTGGAGCTCCAAAGAGCTCCAGTTGGTAGCTCCAAAGAGTTGGAACAGGAAAGCAACATCCTGAAGAAGGAAAAGTCTGCTCTGGAAGAGAAAAACGACGTCCTGAAGAAGGAAAACAACTCTTTGATGCAGAAAAACAATGACCTGAAGAAGGAAAAGTCTGCTCTGGAACAGAAAAACGAAGTCCTGAAGAAGGAAAAGGCTGCTCTGGAGGAGAAAAGCAATGGTATGGAGAAGGTAAAGGCCGATATGGAGCGGAAAAACGACGTCCTGAAGAAGGAAAAGGCTGCTCTGGAAGAGAAAAACACCAAGCTGGAGCTCGAAAGAGCTCCAGCTGGTGGCTCCAAAGAGTTGGAGCAGAAAAACAGCGTCCTGAGGAAGGAAAACAACTCTTTGGTGCAGTTTAACAACGTGCTGAAGAAGGAAAACGCTGCTCTGGAGGAGAAAAACGATGTCCTGAAGACGGAAAACAACTCTTTGGAGAAGCAAAACAACATCCTGAAGAAGAAAAAGGCCGATATGGAGCAGAAAAGCACCGCCCAGCAGGAGGACAACAACGCCGTCATCGACCAGGTAAGCACTGTCTTGAAGGAAGAAATCACTGCCCTGAAGATGAAAAGCACTGCCGTGGAGCAGCAAAACACTATGTTGGAGCAGAAAAGCAACTTCTTGGAGCAGATAAACCATGCCCTGGAGCAGGAGAACGCTGCCCTGAAGGATAAAAGCTCTGCCCTGGAGGAGAAAAGCACCGTCTTGGAGCAGATAAGCTCTGCTCTGGAGCAGGAAAACACCGCCCTGCAGCTCAAAAGTACCGCCCTGGAGCAGAAAAGCACCGCTCTGGAGCAAATAAACACCGCTTTTGAGCAGGAAAACACTAGCCTAAAGCTGAAAAGCACTGCTCTGGAGCACAAAAGCAATGCTCTGGAGCATATAAACGCGGCCTATGAGAAGGAAAACACCGCCCTGAAGCTCAGAAGCGATGCTCTGGAGCATATAAATGCCGCCTTTGAGCAGGAAAACACCAACCTGAAGCATGCAGTGGAGCAACTGAAGAGAAGGCTGAGGGCCAAAGAGATGCAACAGAACCAACTGCCATCTGACGAGGAAACCCAGGAAGACAGCCAGTCGGTTTCAGAAGAGCTGCAGGAGCACCCAACAATAATCAGACGTGTGGTCGGAAGCGTCTCCAATACACTTTGGAAAATGTACCGAAGAGACAATCTCAGGTACTGGATTGAAAGATGGTACTTCTAAAATAAGAAGGGTCATGATGGCTCCAACGTTATGCTTGATTATCGGTGGCATTAAAGCTTGAGTCCGGGGAGCTTGACACTTGGTGTAGGATGAGGAGCTTGGGGCAAGCAGTGCCGCCAGCGCCAAGTTCTCTATCCGGCATCACAAAGCTGCAGACATCATATTCCTCCATCGATCCAGGATGCTTGATGATGCATCCTGTGTCGATGCAGGATGATGCATTCTGCTTCAATGCAGGTTCCTCTGCTGGTTTCTCCCGGCAGAGGAACCTGCACCTCCCGGTTCCTGCTCTGCCGCCAGCAGGTAGTTGCTCCGCTGCCACTGTCGCAGGTCCCATCAACCTCCCAGCCAGGCCCAGGTCCTCTGGGAGGGGTTTCTGCATGTTCTCCCCATGCATTTGTGGGTTCTCTCCGGGTACTCCGGCTTCCTCCCAAAGTCCAAAAGCATGACTGTTAGGTTAATTGACTTCTCTAAACTAAGTGTGGATGTGTGCATGCATGGTTGTTTTTCACCTGCCTGTGTTGCCGGCAACGTGTCCAGGGTATTCGGGAGGAGTGCTGGTGCCTATCTCCAGCGAACATTTCGGGCGAGAGGGGGGGTCACCCTGGACAGGTCGCCAGTCCATCACAGGGCAACACAGAGACAGACAGGACAAACAACCATGCACACTCTCACACCTAGGGAGAATTTAGAGACCAATTTAAAAACGGATACAAAAATAAATTATACAAATCAGGGGTTCGATTCAGAGGCTAGGGGCCAGGATGGTCAGTGTCAAGACTAAGATGCCTCACCGATTATCCACAATTCACTTTCTGCATGTTTTTATTCTTTCACTTGGGTCTTAAATCCTTAAAAAATTAAAAACAAAACCCACTAAGTTGTTTTTTGGTGTTTTGAAAATGAGCCATTTCAATAAACATAAGCAGTCACTGCCCGTTACCTAGCAGGTTACCTTTTGCTAGCAACCGCAGCAAAAGGTAACCTGTATGTTAAAAGAGCATTTTCTGACCAGGTCTGTACATTATGTAGAATGATTTTATTTGGATTATAAAAATTGTGTATGCGGGTTAATTTCACTCATTTTACTGGATGTTAAAAAACAAATCTGTTTTATGTAATAATTTATTTAGTTTTTTTTTTTTTTCTAACATTCATCAGTTTTGGATCTGGACATCATCAGGTCTTTATTTTGTGAAAGCATGGCACTGACATACAGTGTCTGAAGTTCATATGTTTGGGCTTTTTAATGATCCACCTGAATATTTTTCTCCAGGATTGGACGATCATGCAACAAAAAAACTGAAATTTTTAAAAACAAGAATTAGCTGCACATGTTTTAATTCTCTAATCAACACAGGTTAAAATATACATAAGACTCATCAATGCAGAAAAACTTCCTTGTTTTCCCACAATCATCATTCTGGCTGGATATGTGATAACTATTTTTGGTTTTCATTTTATGAGTTTATTTACACCTTTCTGAGCAAACTTCCAATCATCCAACTTTTATGAGTGGATCAGTGACTGGCTGCTCTCCCTATGCATTGCATGGCAGGCACCTATTGTTCTTCACCTAATAGAATGTCTCTTTATTTATATCTTTACATATTTATTTATTTTTCTTCCGTCACCATTAATGCGACTCGTACCACTGCGGGCACCCCAACAAAAGTGGTATCACTTTTGCAGCTGATTCGGACTACAAAAACGCATCACTGTAGTTTTAACTCTGAGGACTGAGCTGGTCTTTATAAATACTTGTGTTTTGGGCATTTTATAACTGATTTAAACCAACCGTTGTTCCACACAGGATCAGTTTGGCAATTTAAAATGAAGCTTACTGAAAATTTCTAAATTAAAGCCTTGACAATTTTTACATCAAGTTATTGCTGTTTGGGGCATTTTATTATTAACTCTATCACTGTTAGTGACAGTGGACATTTAAAATGAAGCTTACTGAACATTTCAAAATAAAAGCCTGAAGATCCCACTCTGGCAAGTGCACTGCCACAGGCGGTGCATTAAGACTAGCCAGCATTATCTTTTCTCTCAGGTTAGGGCTCTGCCTTGCGCAGCTTTTAGCATTTAGCTATTTTTGTTACTTATTAGTAATGTTTAGGATACTGAATGTAGCAAGTCATTCAGTATCCTAAATGACTTACTGAATGTAAGACAATATTCTAAAGATACCCCATATGTTTCTGACAGCATTTAGGCTTACATTAGCATTTTGGCTAATTTTAGCTTACAGACTAAATTTAACATACTGAGTGGTGCAAGTCCATGTTAGTAAACATGCTTGTGACTCTCCACAGGCTGTTGACTAGCATTTGGCCAAGCTTTGTATTGATACAACTTTTTAGCATCAGAACGCTGGGTTCAAACCAATGGGCACTTTGGCAGGACCCGGTTAAATTTATTCAGGAATTTTCTAGTTTCAATTATTGCTGCACGATGTTTAACTCTGAAAATGCATAAAAAAATGGATCATTAAAATCCCAAAATGTTATCACAATAACGTGGTTTTGTTTTTAGAACATAGCGAACAATAACAAAGTGTTAGTGTGATAAAGTCGTCCCGTTTACAGGGTTGCGTTCACTGATGTGAGAAGTTAAATTTCCACAGAAGACTTCTGAAGCGGATGATTTTTGTTTGTGTTTAAGCAGATTCAGGAAACATGCCTTTCACTTTCACTCCCGAACAACAACATGTGCATTTACTGCAGCCTGAGCAGTTTTTCCTGTTCTTCCCGTCACAGACGACTTGAAATGGAAAAAAGAAAAGCAGAGCACAACAAACACAGATCTGTGAGCTACAAGTTAAAATTTAAAGGCCTGGGTGTCATGAACTGCTTCACTAATTCATCTGTGACTTGTTTGCGTCTCTCTTGATGCTGTGCAATCATGGGCTGCAGAGTCTCAATCAATATCTTCTTCAGTTCGCCTGTTAGCAGAGCGCCGCTCGTGTAGTCCTGGGGAGAGACGGCGGTCAGAGGGATTATCTGGAAGAATAATCCAAAGGAACAAAGAAAGAACAAGTTTGTTTTCTTCCTCACCTGTCTGATTTTCTCCAACTGCTCATCATCCTCAAGGAAGAAAGTCAAATACATGAAGGAGACGTCTACGTCTGCGTTCCCGCCGTACTTCCTGTGTTCCTCCACCGTGTCTTTCCCTCCGGAAAACGCATGCTTGTTAATCTGTAGGGAATAATCAGAGGTGAGCGAAGTTTGCAACGTAAATCTAATCTGATTAAGCACACATTCACACCAGCCCTGTTTAGTCTGCTTTAATCAAACTCCAGTTTAGAAAGTCTGATTCGTTCAGGGAAGTGAGAATGTGCAATCAAACTCTGAAAAAAGTGAAGTGGTTCTACTTCTAGCAGGCCAAGAAAATAAAGAAAACAAACTAAGATTAAGCAAATAAAGTAGGCAGATTTTTGTCTATTTTTCCAATCGCTGACCCAGTTATTTTAGGCTCAGATTGAGTCACTTTCTTTCAAAATTATTACTATAATTAGAAAAGTTTAATAAATGAAATAAAAGCTGATATGGGTGCAGCAAAACCGTACAAGTCTGGATTAACGTGGTTCTACTTATTCTAAAAGTTTTGCTGTAAAAATGTTAGTACTTTGGGTTGTACTTAACATTTTCCATTGCGAGAAAATTATGTCAGTAATATTTTTACCCTGACTTAAAATAAAAAGTTTAATAAATTTGTATCATTGTCACAGTGAACTCTGGTGCGGTTTAAATGCAAGCACATAGGAGAACGCTCCAAAAGCAGGAAGTGGACTAAAACGCAGGGAATTCTGGGTAAATACAACCAAAACAAACATGCTAGCTTAGCGCTAGCAGGAGAAATTTTTTGATGTCTTTTACCTAAAACAAAAAAGAAATCCTACAACCACTAAAATCTGACACCACTCCATTTTTGTTTAGATTTTGAAAGAAAGGAAGTTGCGCTCAGTGTCTTCTTCAGTGCTTCTTGATACAGCGCCCCCACAGGCCAGGAGGGGATGCAGATTTTTCAATTAGTTTGGTTCGTTTGATGCAGTGTGAAATCAAACCGCAGCAGCTAAAAATGTAACAAATGTTCCACTGATACCAGACGATCAGATGAAAACGGCCTAAATGACCTTGTTCTTGATCTGCTTCGGCGTGTCAGTGAGGAATATGGAGGAGTTAGCGTCGCTGGCGCTCATCTTCGTTTGCGCCCCCTGCAGGGCAGGGAAGAAGGTGGAGTGCAGCAGGGCTGGTTTCGGGTATCCGATCCTCGGTGCAACATCGCGGGTCATCCTGAAGTAGGGGTCCTGTGTGACAGACAAAAAACTAATTATTTTGTACAATAAACATACCTTTGCATTCCTTCCTCCATCTTGTGTTTCTGACCTGATCAATGGCACAGGGGATGAGGCACTGTATGTCTTTTCTGCTTCCGAAAACATGAGGGAAGGAGTTACTGAAGGATGGCGCAGCCTGGATGGCTGGGAAGCTGATCTTTCCTGGTTGGAGAACAAAACACAATAACTGTTCAAACGTACACTTGGAAAATGTGAAACTCTTAACAGATTTCCTTATGTGGAAACTGAAATATGTTCTTATGTTAATCTAAACAGACTGAACTACAGAGTAACTAAATCCTAAATGAATGATTGGACCTCAAAGGAGACTTATTATGCAAAATTTACTTTTTGTACTTCTGTTTGGGTCACAACTGCATTTAAGACTTATTTAAAACCCGTAATCAAAGTATTTGAAGCCAATTTACCTTCTTTTGAATTAATTCAAGAAATTTTAAGGCCTTAATTTTAGATGTGTCTATTTAAGACTTTAAATCTGTGCAGTCACTCGTTTCACTGTTTTCAGCCGCTTACCGATGCAGTCACTGTCCGTGAAGCCAAAGATGCCTTTAACCTGGTTAAACGTCACATGCTTCTGGATCTTCACCACATTTCGGTAGAACTCAGGGGAGGAACTGAGGTAAAAAACCAACAACACTATAAAACACTCTAATCTGACAGTGTTCTCTCTTTAGTCTCCAGTTTTGTTTTACCCCATGTAGTCGAGGTCAGAGAAGATAAAGGTCTTGTTGATGTCAAAGCCACAGGCGATTATGTCCTTGGCATTTTCTATGGCAAAGCGGTGGCATTCTTCAACAGTCAGGTCCTTCCACAGGTACTTCTCATCATCCGTCAGCTGGATCACCAGCGGGATGTCGAACACGTCCTGGAGCCATCTGGAGACAGGAGTTCAGTGCAATTTGCTTCATTTTGATAGTCAGAATTGCACCTTTTGGTTTATATCTATGGTGTAGTAGTGACGTATTTATGCAGGGAAACAAACTCACTTAGTGAAGATAAAAGGGATGAGGTGACCAACATGCATGGCCTCTGAGGACGGCCCCCTGCCAGTGTACAGGTAGAACGACTTGTGCTTCTCGTATGCATCCAGCACCTGATGCATATCTCTGCAAAAAAAGGGAGAAAAATTACGTTCATTCCTCTGTATCCAATAATATTTCATTGTGATTTTATTTTATCAACACAAAGTAGTACAAAGAGGGAAATTAAATGATTTGCAAAACACAAAACATAAAAAGTGTGTCGTGCATTTGTGTTGAACCTTCCTTGATTGGTTTCACTGCATAAAATCCGCAGCAATAAAGTCTAATTGTGTCTGATTTTATCGTAATAAATCTTTTTTTACAGTAAAAAAATGTTAGGAACATCAGAAAACAACATGAAGACCAAGAAAAAGAAATAGTCCTGTTTCAGTTGGTTACAAGACAAAAGGGGACACAAAAATTGTGTTTATTATATCGTTTATCATTTATTGTGATACATTTCTTCTACCAGCTGCATCTGCAGTGAAAGTTGGTGAATATACAAAAAACCAGACCAAGTATTTTTGGTCTACTTTATTGCGCAAATATCTTATTGTCTTATTGTCAGTACACTGAATCGTGTTAACTTTTAAACACAATTTCGGAGCTTGTTTTAAGTCAATAATTCCTTAAAATTGCTGAAAATTTTTTAGTTCCATTGACAGAATATGATACTTAAAACAAAACATTTTTCCCCAGTTATAAGTGAAATAATGTGCCAATGGAACAAGTGTTTTTTCATCAATATTAAGGACTCACTGACTTAAAACAAGCTTCTATATATTCCTGAAAAGTTACTCAGAAGTTAGTTTTGTTTTATCTTAAGTGTACTATGATTAATATGTAATTTATTAATTGGAAGAGCAAACACCTGTGTGAGAAGAAAACTCGTCTTCGTAGAAAGCGATGGGGCTTCTGTCCACAAACTTTCTCTACTCTATCCACCAGCTCCTGGTCGATTTTACTGCTCCCAAACCTCACTAAAAAAATTTTAAAATAAGAGAAAGCAATGTTTATCAATACGTCATTATGGATTATCCCTTCCTTTAGACTTAAAGCTAACTGGACTCTCACCTATTAATTTGTCATAATCGACTCCCTTAGCGTTGGTGGTTGAAACGGTCCATGGATCCACTGTGTCGTCCTCACCGGCGCCTTCTGCTGCCGGGCCGTTGTTGGGCGCAGCATCGTTTACTGACGGTGGACATCCTGCTTTGTAGTCCTGACCAGTCATCTGTTTGTAGTCCATTTTCAGCTTCAGTAGCAGCTGGACAGCAGCATCAACCTCAGCCTGCAGAAAAATAAATAAAACAGGGGTAAAAAACAACAACAATATGATCTATCAGGAAAAAAATAAAAATAAAACTTTTTTCCCCTTAACTTTTACTGTCTTCAGATTAGAAACGTGTATAAAATTTTATTATTTTTTATATTATGATGAAAGGATGGACATTTGTTCATGTCTTAAAGATAAGATGGTAATTATAAAAAAACATTTTTTAAATGGCCTGTTTCCTTCCATGTCTAGAAACAAGGCAAGAGATCATTTAAAATCTGATTCACTTTTAAAACTTCTGTTACTGATAAAAAATAATCTAGTTATCCTACAGTTCATGTCCAAATTTTACATTTTTACAGAGTTAAATTTTCAGTTCTTTTCAGTTCATGTTTATAGTACAAAGATATTAGTGCACCATAAATTTAAGGTGGATAAATCCAGCTTTAAACATGAAAGTTGCATAAATCATGGACCAGACTGATGATTCACTCCCAAATATGTTTTATATAGAAACACTATATAAACACCATGTCCATATATTAAATGATGAGACAGACTTGATCCCCTTTTTGGAAATAATTATTTAAGGTTGTTGATTAACTTCCCAAAGTAGAAATATAATCAGTTGTATCCTTTTCTTTTTGTTGGAAATGTGCCTTACTTTATCAGCTTTGGCTGACTTCAGGGATCTCACTTTTTCCCCTTGTTCGGTGAGTTTCTCATAAAGCTCCATGGGAGTCCTGGCTCCTCCCTCGTCTCCTTGGCAGTCTGTCATCTTCTTCACACTGATATGGTGTAAAAAAAAAATTAAACAAATAGAACCACCAGTCTTTAAACGGGAAAATAAAACAAATTTAAAGCTCTGACGTCTCTATATTTCCTCCTTCCGTAGCACAGAAGGCTCTCCCATATGTGAGCATTTATCAGAGCTAGGTTGGTAAATCTGGCTAACAGTTGCTAATATTCGCTATTAAAACAGAAAAAACAGGTGGTGTGTTCAATAATTTAAAAAAAAAACTATTTAGCTTAAAGACGTATAAGAGAAATATCCGGTTATTGTCTCTGTTTTTCTATCATACCGTTAAGCTGACAGCTCCCTCATTCAACTTGCATCAGCCTGTAAAGAGCCCGGTGTCCGGATCTATTTCTTCCCCGTTCAAACACGCCGTGTTCGAAAGGTTCCGATCATCACGGATCCGCGCAGTCAAGAAATTCAGTCTAATTCCTATAAATGTTATCAGGAGAACATAAAAGATCCACGCCATTTCGTTCATAACAAAAAATACTGAAGATATTTCAGAAATTATGACTTTAATGAGCAGGAAGTGCCTGTATCTGGTTCCTATCCACTGGTTTCAAAATAAAAGCTTTTAAACGTATAACAGCGCTTTCCCTATTGGAACAAAATTAAGCGATGCTTTTATTCTGAAATGCTCTCACTGACATTATTTTGCGGGATGTGGAACAAAACAAACTAACGTAAACACTACGGAGAGAAATCAAGGACTTCTCCAAAGTTCAGGTACAACAATGAAGTCATTAATTATTAATCTGTTTTTATTTTGTAATCTTTAGCTCATAAACCAGAAAGGACAACCATGAACGTTAGCTATATCTGCTAGCTGCTGGCTAATAAACATGAAAAGCGTTGAGACAGACATTGCTGTTGTATATAACATACACACAGTTCCAAATCTATTTATACTAAATGTATGTATATGTCACCTTTCAGCTGCCAACTTAAATTAATTTAATTTTATTGGGATTTATGGCACAAACCAACAGAAATATGCACCTACAAGCAAATGTGATATTTTCATTGATTATTAGCAAACATGTCTGGGGGAAAATGACCACACATACAGCAAAAAAACTGGTTTGGTTGTTATTAGCAGTGAGAAAATATTTGATCATCAACTGCAACATGAAATGAAACGGGTTTTTAAACATTTATCTTACAATAAAAATAAAAATAAAAATCTGAGAAGTGTGGCGTGCATCCGTTCTGAGCTTCACCCATGTCCCTTTAAATCTGACTCCAGCTTTTCAAATGTATACTGAAGTGGAAAAACAACCGTAAAGTGGCTGAACTTTATTTTATTTTGGAGCATCATAGTTAGGTGGGGTGTCAACAAATATAAATTTAATATAAATATTATCTGTAAGTTTTGTGAAATTCTTGTATTGTTATACTTGAACTGTTGCATCATGTAATATTTTAAGGAAATCTAATAAAATTTAGAAACAGTAAGTACTGGATTCATTGTGAAAGGTTTATAACAGCCCCCACTTACTGCTGAATTGATGACATTTAGGATGGATGGCCATGAAAAACCAAACCTTTGATGTAGAAAAATCAGGCATATTTAAAGTAAATTCCTCAGTTACATTTATTGTTGTAGAGATTTTTAACTGCACCAAAAATTGGGTCAAAATTGGTTTTTGCTAAAGCTGATTATTCCCAGGCCTGCTGCTGTAAACAATAATTCAATGAATTGCATGATAATTTAAAACAAACACAATAATTTTCATATGCGTGATTTCTTTCTACCCAAAACTGGATGACAAAACTCCTTAGTCTGGCGCTTTGGTTACATCTACTCTTTTATTTTAAGGATAGTTTTGTTTACAAACACTTCATAATTCATTTTATTTGTCGTTTTGTTTGTTTATTTTGAAAATTTTAAATGTCTTCTGGTTAGAGGGTTAAATTTTCAATGGAATTTAAAGTTTATTGATATTTAATAATGTGTTCTTGCATTATTATGCCACTAGCATTATGTTACTTGAACATTGTCTCAAAACAACAATATTATCCCAGTAACTTCTGGGGCAATATATTGTCCAGTTAAATTTGTTATTATGACACGCCTGCTGAATAAATTTATGAAATAAAAAATTTTGACTTTAGTGTGAGATTATGCTGCTGCATTGAAGGTCATTTATTTTATTTATTTTTTATCTTTATTCGTTGGCAACAAAGCCGTCCACTTTAGTATATATGTTATAATTAAAAAATACCTCAAAATACTAAAACCTCTGTATGTTTAAATTAATAAATTAAACATTTTCTTGTTTCTTTTTCTGATTTTATCTGTTTGTTGCTGTAATTGTATGTATTGAATTGGCCACTAGATGCCGCATTTGGACCATAGGTGAATTAATGACACTTCTATTTGTTTCCTTATTTTCAGTGTCAGGTGAAGATGTCTTCATTGGTGGCCTATGATGATTCAGAGGATGAGGATGAGTCCTGCGATCAGAAGGAGGAAGAACGATCAGACCCGTCCGGATTTAATAGTGTTCGTTTAAAGCCCAGACCTGCAGCTTCAGAAACAGTTTTAGGACAAAGTAGCTCTTCTTTGTTGTATGTTAACCCAAAGATGCAGCACTGGGACAGGGAATACCGTAGTGGAAACGAAGGGAAACATTTTAAAGACAGATCTGCTTGTCTCACTTTCTCAAAAAGTGATGGTTCAAATCCCGCTAAAAGGCGGCCATCTTCCCTCCCTGGTGTCAGACCGTACATCCCAAAGAGACAGAGACAATCAGAGGAAACAAAACGCCCTGAGAATCACCCACAACAAAGTTTAGAGAATCCAACCAGAAAAGGTCCAGTTCTCTCAGATGTTTCACCGAAAGTGAAGCCTTACCTTAGTGAAAAACTCAAATCATCCGGGACGCCCAGGAAGCTTTTGATGAGCCTGGAAGGCCACCAGGGGGCAGTCAACACGGCGCAGTGGTGCCCCGTGCCTCACATTAGCCACCTGCTGCTGTCCGCCTCCATGGACAAGACCTTTAAGGTAATACCAGCCCCCACATACTGCTGAATTGATGACATTTAGGATGGATGGCCATGAAAAACCAAACCTTTAACCAGAACCCACCGGACGGGCCTCTGTTATTTAAACAGCCTTCAAAGCTGAATGTTATTTACTGGAATTTAAATTATGATGCATTTTGTAGGCCTGCTTCAGCCTGAGCAACATTTTTATTTTCCACACTTTGTATTTATTTCCATTTTTTGGGGAGTGACAAATTAACTTTTATAATGCTAGAATTGTTACTTTAACTCAGTAATTTTATTATTAAGTATCATTAGTCTTAGTTGAGAAAAATTGGAAATAAAAACCATTTATTAAACACAGAATTATATATTTATTTTAACCATGACTTACAGGTAAAGAAAACCCAAAATTCAGTTTATTACAAAACTTTAATATTACAGGATTGTTAATGCAAGTCCAGGCTATTAAAACAAACAGCCTGCTGTGTTTTGGCAATAAATTAATGTTTTTTGGTGTCTGAAAAATTTCAAAAACCTCCTGAAGGTTTGGTCACAGTCCACTGCACCGTTACTTAGCAACCCCAGCTGCTAAGTAACCCCTAGCAACCCAGTCAGAGTGTGTTACCTAGCAACCCAGGCAGACCTCCTGCACATTTGGTCAGCTGGTTTTTCTGCTGCATGCGCTGCAGAGTGGCTGCTGGAAAAGACAGAAAGTGTTTAGTTGTTGACTTACCAACCAGAAACCAGTTGCTGCATTCTTGTTGGTTGTGCAGGAGGCTCCATTTCTGCTTTTCAAAGATCTACGGTTGTATGTTTGCACAGCCATTTTCACTTGTGAGTTTAAATGATGAGTTGGGGGCGTGGCCAGCAGCAGCTTATTTGGATTTAAAGTGACAGAGGCACTAAACTAGCTGAAAAGAGGTAGAACTACAATCTCATTATTTATGTTTTTGTGCAAAAAATAAAATAAAAATGTTTTGCATAGCCCACAGATCTATCCTAATTTGTTTTTTATTATAAGGAATTACACTGAGTCACCTTAAAAAGGACCTTCTGCTCTTCTGGGTAGTTGGTTCTTGTGTCTCTCATCCTTTTCTTGAAATACACACATTACTTTCATCTCTGAACTTGAGTAACATATATTGAGTAACAGATTAGAATCTGTCCACAACTCACAATCTTCTCAAGGCTGCTGTTATCCTGGGTTCTACTGCAGTTTTTCTTTCCACTCAATTTTACAATAATTTGTTTTGCTTCTTTTATAATGTTTATTTTGTTTTGTTTGTGGCTTAAAATCAGTGAGTCAGCAGATTTAACCATGATTATGTCGACTATAATATATTGCTATATATATAACAATATATAGAATATTCAATATTCAATATATTAAAGCTGTAGTCCCCAACCCTGGTCCTCAGGGCCCATTGTCCTGTATATTTTAGGTGTTTCCCAGCTGCTGCACACCTGGGTTAAATGAACAGGTGATTAATCAGCTTTTGCTGAAATTGCAGGAATGCAAAGAAGGAAATGCAGTCATATGATTCAGTTGTGTTGGAGTCCAGACTCATCAAAAACATGCAGGACAGCGGTTCCTGAGGACCAGGGTTGGTCCACTGTATTAAAGAATATTCACTGAACTCTGATCCAGAACCACACTGCATTCTGGGAAATGTAGGCTGAGAAGCGGCTTTAAACGCTCAACCCACAGACATAATAAAAGAATAGGCTCCGCATTGACTGCTGGGAGGCAGGAAACACAAAATGTTTTATGTAAAATAATCTACCAATAGAACTAGTATTTTTTATTAACATCAAGAAATTATTGATGTAAAACAAGCTTTTACATCCATCATGTAAAAGCTTGTTTGCACAGCCATTTTCAAACAATGGCTGTGCAAACAATTCCTTGTTGAAAAGTTACTTGTCTTATTTTAAGTGTAGAGACATGTTTACATTAGAAATTAGACTAAAATATTTAATAAGTGCATCCTGAAGTCCTTTCTTGTCAGAGTAATGTCGGTTATTATTTACTTGGTTAAAAGACTCACCTATCAGAGCATGCTCAGCCTGAAACCCGATACCTGCTCTGCTGCATCCATTCACCCCAACAACCCGTCGTTTCAGAATTATCTCCGTCACTGTCAGCTGAATGTGTGTCAGAACCCACGAGATTTTCCTGCCTCTCTCCCCCTTTTCGTTTCTTCTTTGTCTCTCCGTCTCCCCCCCTCTCCTTTTCATTATTTCACACCTGGAAAACAATCCCTCTTCGCACAATTGTAAAGGTCAAGCAATGCATCTATCTGCCTGCCAGCGCCCAAACATTTCTCTGCCAGTGTCTGTGAAATCACGCGCCGCGCTAACATCCTCTGAGAACTCCGACTAATTAATAATTTAAATATGAATGATTCAATTTGCATAATCATACAAGTGGAGGAGATATGGCACTAGCACCGAGCCTGGCACCTGGAGAGGGAGCCGCTTGCAGCAGATGGTGGAGACTGGCAGAGGATGGATGGAGGGAAACACTCGTTTCTGTGCAATAATTAGCTGCTCTTCTCTATTGCATTATGAATGTACTGAATGAAGACTAAAATAGGAGGTTAGCATGCTTATTTTTTCCAGAAATCTCTTGTGGTTCCTGTTTTTTGCTGAAATATTGAGGATGTTCACACATATTAGTATAAAACTGGGCCCATATGAACAACCAATATTTATTGTTAGCTTGTTGCTGTTTGTTTTCAGGTATTTTTTTCGCTAAATGTGTTGAAATGGTAGTGAAATATATATAATATTGGTAAATATCTGTAACAACAGCAATGTTAACGTTGAATATCAATAAAAGGTCCAAATGTGCATATCAGTGCATCCCTATCATGAGGAAAAAGCTTTTTATTAGTGAAATTATATGTGAATAATCACCAATATTAAGGAATTATTGACTGAAAACAAGCTCCTTTATTTTGCTGAAAAGTTACTTGTAAGTTAGTTTCACCTTACTTTAAGTGTACTAATATAATTGCACTAGAAACTACATCAAAATTACTTGGTTAGATTTTGTGTTTTTGCAGTGTTATCTGCAAAAACACAAAATCTAACCAAAATTGGCGTCTCCATTGCAGATGATCGCAAAACATTATTTCTAAAAAATGTTCCCAAAAACACAATTTTGCTATTTCAGTGTTTCCAATAAAAAAGAAACTCAATTAACATTTTATGTGAATTAGCTTATTTATGCTGCTAGTCATTGAAAACATCCGGCTCCATCTTCCTCCAGCCACTTCCTGTCATCTTCTTTGTCGTTTCCACCAGTAGTAACATCCTGTTGGTGATGTCATGTGAGAAAAAGTTCTTCCATGACAATTTTGTGAAATACATTCACTTCTAAAATGAAGAGAGTTGAAAAACCATCATTTTTTTCGTGTGATGTTTAGTTTTTAAAAATCATATGTGTTGGGCTCATGTGACAAAGAGTTTGGTTTAAAGAGTAAAAACATAAAATATTTTGTGATGATCCTTAATTTTTTTTAATAAGTGCAAGAATAAAGAGTAATAATAATAAAGAAGCCTTAAACACAATAAAGTTCAAAGAATACCAACAAAAGTCACATCTTGGGAGCTGATTTGATTGAATCAAAACATTTCTGTAGTCATTCATTAGCAAGTGTTTTTATTTTTAGTAATTTTTACAGAATAGGCTCATTTAAATTTCCTTTTAAAACACTAATTCAGCATTCAGGGCTGAAGAATGTTTTCAGGGTTGACAGTTATTTAGCAGCTCTCCACAATAAGGCTGAAAATTGCAGGTAATCATGATAAATTCAAACTTCTTATGCAGGAGTGTTTATTCTGCTGATTTATGCCATCATGTCACGCATTATTGTTCCCTCATTGACATCCGGGATGCGCTCTCTCTATTACCGCTCCGACTCCAGCCTTTGTTTTCCATTCTTCGGGAAGAGAATAGAGCGCCGGGATGTAATCAATAAAATCTTCACTGTCCTCTCTGTGCTGCTGACATCCTTCATGCTTCCTCCCTCCTCTCTGTCAGTTTTATTTTTTATTCTCATCTGTTGTTGCCATGGCTACTGCAGGTGTAGGCTGATAACTGCATTACCAATTTAGTTTTAATTATCAGGGGGTCGTTAAGGAAGGAAGCCCCAAGGAGCCAATTAAACAAACCGGATGAGTCTCTGATTGTTTTTGGTTATTGATCAAATTTTCACCGCAAACTTTTGTTATGCTATTTTGGTGTCCAGTGTTCGGCTCGGGAGCCTTTTGCGTATGGAGGAATTTTCCTGCCATAATCCAAGAGCACACATTTTCAGTCTGAAAATAAGATTTTATGCCTTTTGTTCTCAAAATTTTTAATACTTTTGTTTTCATTTTGAAAGCAGGACTTCATGTCTTTCTTCTCAAAACTTGTAACGCTTGTACTCAAAACTTCTCCTCCCGCTCTCTCTTAGACCCTGTTTATACAACTACAATTTCTGGTGAAATTGGAAGAGTTTTGTTGTGTTTATACTCCACATTTACATGAAACCACCGAATGTTTTCTCTGGCACCGTTTGAGAACGGGTTCTGAAACGTTCAAGTGTCCGTTGTCTTGTAAACAGAATAAATGGATCTTTTCTGTCAGGGAGTCCCAGATCATGCATAGTCTGACGTAAAACTAATTCAATGTGTAACTACTTTACACACTGGAGTATTAGGCAATACTAAAAAAATATATATATAATATAATAAAAATAAATATTCTGATTTTACAAGAATAAAATCAGAATATTAGAAGGTCATAACATTATGAGAATAAAAAGCTGTAATAATTTGAGAATAATATTATGAGAATGAAGTTAAATAATAATCGGAAAAATGTCATAACGTGATAAAATCATGATATGAGAATAAAGTTGAAATAATATAAGAATATAGTCATAAAATTACACACATAAAATTGAAAGAATACAAGAAAAATGTCATAATACAATGAGAATAAAGTAGTCATGAGAATAAAAACGAAACAACATGAGAAAAAAGTCAAAACAAGATGAAAATGCTCATAATTTTGAGAGTAAAGTTGTAATTCTCTTGAGTTTATTCCAGTAATACTTTATTCTCGTACGACTTCTTTCTTGTAATTTAATTATTTTTATTTTCTTAGGAATCACTAATTCTGCATCGTAACTTTATCTACTTGACTTGGATATAATTTTACTTTCTTATCTCATCTGACAGAAACGTTCAGATTCCCCCATATGAAAAACATGCTCTATATCTTCTCAGCTTCACCTGCTGCCTAGAGATGGCAGTGTTTCTCTAAGCCAAACATCACACACACACACACACACACCCACACACACACACACACACACACACACACACAGAGAGAGAGAACCGCTGAATGAACAGCAGCTTCCCTAATAGTCGGATCACTCCCAGATCTAACACGCTGGATTTAAAAGTACAACTCTCCTCCCATCTCTGTTACTTTCTGGGATTCTGCTTGTTTCACTTGCTGGATTAAAATGTCCGTCTCCCTGATCCACCCGTCTCTCCTGTCTCCTGTGGGAGCAGCAGTGGTGCAGCTCTTCTCCCAGTGTTTCATATGCTGCTAAATAATGAAGCGCGGAGCGAGGCAGAGAGTGATCAGCCATCTCAGGCGGATGTTCAAAGTTTCTCTGCTGGCTGGTAAAAAATATTCCCGTCATTAACTCAGAGCCTCACCTCCGGACTGGACCACCCGTTGGATTTCAAAACACATGTTCACCAGATGACCCATTTCAAAAGTGACAGCAAATGATTAACACCTCCTGTATTGATGCTGCGTTCACACTGCAGCCCCAAGTGACCCCGATTTCTTATTCAGTTATTTACTTTAGTGGTAATGCAAACTGTATCTTATCTCCTCATGACAGTCTGAACAACAAAAGTTGGATTATTTTTGCAATCGGACCCAGACCACTTGGAAATCTGATACATATCTGATCTATTTGATATAAATCTGGTCGCATCATCTGACCTGAACGTCATCTATACTCGACAAACGTCCCTGATACGCGCGATAGTGAAGAAAAACCGCAATAATGGCGTAATGAGGATTTAGTTGTTAATGTCCCCCAAAATTGTTAGCGATGCTCCATCGTTAGCATTCATGTTTACTTCCTCACTGAGCATGCTCTCTGTGTGTGACGTTATTGCGCCCCCTACTGCGCATATGGGAGATGTTCGCATACAAGTCGCACATTTGGAAATGCCCCAAAAATCTGATTTGACAAAAAATCGGAATTGGGTCAGTTTGGGCTGCAGTGTGAACGCAGCCTTATTGATGTGTGTTATTTTCATCTTTCGAAGCAGCAAAGCTTCAGGTTTTACTGCTATAACTACAGAAAGCAGCTGCTTGCTTTTCTCTCCTGTTTTCAGAGAAACAACAGGAATCCATTACACCTGATTTTACAACCACTCAAAAGAATTTAATGGGATTAATTAGGAAATTAATTAGGAAAGTGTTTCTTTTTTAAAACCTAAATAAGAAACCTCAGGTATAAAGATTATACTTATTCATTTCCCTGAGTAAATTAATTTGGTTTGATAATTAGCAAAATTACATTTAGATCTGATTTCTGTAAGAAATATGTTTGAATATCATCAAAATGTTTATTTCATTATGTAACTCAGTAATAATGAACAGTTTCATTGTACACATTCATACATTTCATCCTGTAAATTTAGAATATTATAAATACAAAATTTAGTTCATTGTAAATATTAAAAGAAACTTTTTTAATTTTAAACCAAAAAAGTAGGTTCATGTCGGATACATGGCAGATTACGTGTGTCAAACTCAAGGCCCAGGGGCCAAATCTGGCCGCTACAGCTTTTTATGCGGCCCCTCGTCTCCAGATGCCAAATGACGTCAATCAGTTGATCCAGATTTTTAGATTTTTGGTTTGTATTCACCCAAAAGCAAAACACACTAACTGTGAGTTTGACAATTTTTGCAGAAAATTTGCAAAAACATTGGGTTCAAGTGATGCTAACTTCCACCTGCAGGTGGCAGTATTTCTTACTTCTACTAAAATGCTGCTTCAGTCTTACTTCATGTCAAATTATAGTCCGTGATCAATAAGGAAAGTAACAAAAATTAGATATTGTGAAATACCTGGAAAATATTTGTAGATTAGCTTCACAAAATCTGTCATTTTGCAAAAAAAAAAAAAAAAAAATCACAAAACAATCCCATTAATGTAAAAAAAAGTACTTATTTAATTCACAGACAGCTCTTTATTAATATTTTTACTGTTTCTAAATGGGTTTTATCAGTACATTCAAGGACAATCTGCCCTTTAAGAACATTTCTGATATTGATATATGGCCAAAAATGGAAACTTGGCGCTCCTGGTGCAGGCAACCACCAAGTGAAACCTCCTGTCAAAAATGTAAATTTAGCTGTGGCATACCTTGATGTTAGTAGCTGTGTTATGCATATTTATGATATAAAATGTTGGATTGAGGACTGGTTACCGGCTCATTTTTTACTGAAGTTTGCAACAAAGCACAAATTAAATATCAAATGTGCTGTTTTAATTCTGCTTCACGTCTATGTGAACCATGTTTGTTACAGTTCATTCAAAGTTTGGAGGATATATCTCCCTTTGATGAGTTCTGCTTTGAAAATCAAATTAGCTAAAGAAATTGGATTTTCTTTTCTTTAATAAGTGCCTGCTGATTTTTGAAAGGTGAATGTTTTTTCTCAAGCGCAGATAACGTGACGTTTTCCATCATTTTTAAAGTAGAAAGTAGAAACACTCCTCCAGTGGATTTTGCTGGAGGAGTGTGGGTTTATTTGTGACTTTGGCCCGTGTCCATGTCTGACAGGTGTGGGATGGAGCAGAAAGTGGACGATGCCTCAGGCTTTACACCTGCCACTCGGGAGCCGTGCGTGACGCCTGCTGGACCCCCTGTGGGCGACAGCTCCTCACCGGCTCATTCGACAACACGGCTGTGATCACTGATGTGGAGACAGGTGAGTCGCACCACTTCTCGCTTTAAATGAAACACTGGATTTATTTTTGGGTCTTTATTAGGCTTTGAAAAATGTCAACAGGTATTGATTATAAAGACTACAACCCCCGAGCACCAATTTAACTTTGACATTATAATTATGTCAAAATGATCCACGATTCCCTTAGATAGTGTATTCATGTTTTGTTCCTCTGTATTTTTTGTTTTAAATAAAGTTTTTGGAACATGAAGACAGGAAATGGAACTGCTGCATTGTAAATAGTCTTCAAAATAAGAGCATGAATATAACCGCCTAACTGCTGGAAGACTTTTTAATGGTCGATAACCAAAACTTCAACACAGATGTTGAACTTTATTCAACTGAACGTTTGCAAAACAGCCAAGTAAACTAATGCTTTAGGACTTATCTGTAATTTTGTGGATGCAAAGTGTCATAAATGTCTTCAAAGTTAGCAAAATCCCTTAACAACAACACCGAAAAATAACTCTCAGCTTTTAGCTGATGAGGAGACATGAGCTCACCACTGGTATATAAATATTTTCTAAATACCAGAATAATAAGAGAGAGTTTACTTTCTTCTTCTAAAGTGGTATAATCCCAATCTGGGGATGCACAGATTATGTCATCATAAACACTTTGTAATAGCTAAAATAAAAACGTTTGACACAGCCTCTAAAATTGTTTATAGCTGCCTATTAAACACAAAATATACCTTCATATGCATTTGGTACCAACACTGGAGCCAGTCGTCAGTAAAGAAAATAAATGAATGGTGCTCTTGGATTGGCTGCTTTGCAAATGCCAACCAATAGGATGTCCTAACATTGTGACCAAGTATTGCAGCTTTCCAGCTGCACTTCACAAACTACATTATGAGCAAAATGTTTAAATTACCATTTGAAAACTGCTTTGTGTTGCATTATTTTTGTGTTGGAATATCAGCAGGAAGGAGACTGAAACTCCAAACATACTGACCAAAACAAAACAGAAACTACAAATGAGAAACTCAGAAGCGAGCGGCTGCAACTCTACATGCAACAAACTTAACTACATCATAAAATAAGTCCACCATGTCACGACACCGTCAGATTTTAGCATTTTGTGTTTTGTGTCGTGAAACAATTAGCTTCGACATAAACAGGAAAAAGAAAGAAAAACCTGTCAGTGAGTAAAGCCATGTTTTCACAGCCCTGTGTATATTTCTCCAGTTTGTTTTGACTTAACAAAAATCCTGTTTCTTGGCGGCTTTTATTAAACACTTTCCAACCACACTGCTGGCGTTTTGGGACAACAAAGCACATTGGCAGCTGTACCTCCTGCAGTCCTTGTGTTGCTTCTCAACAGTTTGTCTTGTAATTTGCATGGGACGTGAATATCATTCTCTTGAGTTGCAGAACAGCTTCTCTCACTCTGGCTCTGAAGCCCATGCTGAAAGAAAATCTGAGAAAATCATTTGAAGTTGGGGTACATTGTCAAATGTTAAAGGCTTTTTTAAGTGCAGTGAAAGAAATGTGGCGTACTTCTCTTAAAATGCAGCTCTGCTAAAGCTGCAGAACCGTACAAGAAATCAATTGGCTCCAATTTGTGCCCTCCATTCGTTTTAAGTGCCTTTAAGTCTCTTTCGTTTAATCGTGTGGAGCCCAGCACACGATTAAACGTGTGCTGGGCTCCACACAAAGGCCGACAAAGGTCGGCACTTTCTGCATTAAGAACATGTGAGTATTCATCCATTTTATGCCTCCTTTATTTCTCTCACTGTTTAATCTGTAGGAATAAAAGAATGAATGAGAACTGGTGAAATGTTTTGTTCAGGAGAACGGCAGAAAATCCATGCAGTTTTTAATTTTTGTAGATATTTCTTGAGTTTTAATGTGTAATCTTTCTTTGTTCAGTAGGTTTACATCACTCAAGTTCACTGTATTTATTCTAACAACAGAGGACATGATGATGGTGGGTAACATCAGTTCAGCAGCTAAAAAAATAAACAGTCCACTTCTCTCCAAATCAATCAGAGATCAAACTTTTACAAACTGTGATTTATTTTTCAAGCTTACAGAGGAAACAAAAAATAAAAAATAAAGCCACCATAATGTCTGCATCTTTAGGGTCAGCACATGGCTGCACTTCCTCTCTCCCAGCGTCTGTCGATTCTGTCAATAAAGCCTACGGATAATAGCTCGGCCAGCCCATTAAACACGCAGGCAGCTCCAGGAAGGGAATCAATAATGGATACATCACCACGGGGGCAGCGACCATGACCTTACACTGGGACGTCACTATTCACAACCATAAACAGACAAATGCTTATTTGATCGCCGCTGTCAAAGCGGCTTCAAAAGGAACAGCTAAAGGAATGCCACACGTCCAAAAACCTCTCATGCAGAATCCTATGAAAGCCTTTTTCTCTTATAGCATTTTTTCATTCCTCCCACTACTACTATTATTCATTCATATTAGAAATTAATTATAAGTCTATTGTTTCCAGGAGCGAGAGAAGCGAGTGCTTCCTGGAAAGGGCAATAAGGCCGCGTTCCTATGGCAGCGCCAGATGAAGGGAATTCAATTTCGTTGCATATTAATGTGGGAGTTGGGAACGCAGCCCGGTTCCTTCATGGCATTTTAATGTGAAAGGGCTGAAATGAAGTCGCTGACACTTCAAACTTCATCGTAATCGAAAACACGGAAAATGAGCAACATCCTTAAAATCCCTTCGTGTGTTTTAGATGCTTCGTGTCTTTTGGAGTCTTTCCCGCCACAATTATTGGCATGTTTGCTGCAAGCATTGAGATAATCTTTATATTAAATGATTGCTATGGTTCTCTTATCAATTATTGCTCTGGACGCAGATGTGGGCAAGTTTTGTTGTAGCCATGATTCGGCGAGTCTTTCCCATTTTGAACAGTGAAGAGAAACGCTATAAGTCACATGAAGAACATTTCTAGGTTTAAAATAAAACAAGCCAGTCAAAATAAGCAATAAATCAATTAATTGTATGATAAAGTAAAACAAACATAATCATTTCCATCTGCATGATTTATCGTTTTTTTCTCTTTTCTGTCTCTTTTTCTACCGAAAACTGGATGACAAAAGTCTTCAGTTTGGTGCTTTGGTCTCCACTAACTCTTATTTTGAAGGGCAATTTTGTTTACGGACTTCCTGATTCCTTTTATTAGTTGTTTCTGTTGTTTGGTTTATTTATTTTGGATATTTAAAATGTTTTAGAATGTAAAATGTATTGATAAATGATGATGCCATTACCATTTGATTACTTAGAAATGGTCTCAAAACAACAATATTGTCGTTTATTGCAGTAACTTCTGGGGCATTTTGTCATCAAGAAAAATGTGTTTTTGCTCTGCAGGTAATTGTAGGTGTAGTGGGTAGCCATGGCAACAGGTCCGCTTGTAGAGTACAGCCGACACAGAGAGCGAGAAAAAGCAGGTTATAAAGGGTTTAAAGTTGTTTTTATCCTCTTTATAAGTTTATTTTCTCTTTGCTTTGGCACTGTGTAATTTTTAAACCTTCATTAAAGACAAAAACTAGATTAGTTATCATCAACTGGGATGAAATCTTTCATAAAGGATAGGAGACACGGTTTGTTAAATTTTAACAATTAATTTTAACAGCTGGAAATATGTAAAATGCAATTATTGACCGATATAAAAGTGAAATTTGCTTAGTGCGTTCTTGCGTCTTGACAGAAACCAAATTATTTGTAGATTTATATCCAGAGAAAATACATGTTTCACCTGTTAAAACATCAACCATTTTCTGAGCTTTAATTTAAACCAGATTTTATAGAAAGTGAGTCAGAAATGACGCTACAGCCATTTTTGTGACAGTTTCCTGCTCATTCCACATTAGAACAATCTGGTTCATGACTCAGAGACTTACAGTAATGGTCGCCTGCAGGATTATCGCTAGCTTTAGCGGCTAATGGGAAATGTCCCAACCAATAATGTACATCAATGGAGAAATCCTTTGATCCGAATTTGTTTACTTTTTCTGAAAAAGAAAGTTGCGCTGGTCCTCTTCAGAGATTTTTGTTTTGTTTTCTCAAGCGCCCCCACAGGCGAGGAGGGGAACAGCTTTTTCAATTAGTTTGGATCGTTTGACAGATTGCAGTGTGAAAGCAAACTGCAGCTGAAAATGTAACAAATGTTGCAACTTTGGCCCCCAATCGAACCGAGTCCACTGGACTACATAATCCTTTGGTATGCTAACTTTACACGCCACACGTCGAGCTCATGTCCCGGCAATTAAACGTCCCCATGGGGCCACAGCTTGACAACGAGAGCTTCAGTGGATTAATGTGACTCTGCCCTGAGGGCCTTGCAGTCACTCCATATGTCAGGACATATAAAGCCATGTCAGCTGAACATACAGACTATCCCAAATGGATCGCCGCGTTAGCTTATCCGTCATCCTGAGACAGCTAATTAATTTAGCCTAATTAAAACATGAGGATGCCCCATTTATTACGAGGTAAACGCTCCAAACATGAGTTTCAAATCTTTGTTAGGGATCTTTGCTGCGGGAAAGCCAATTAAGCGTGACGTGTGGAGCTGATGAAAGAGCCTGTTAAAACTTTGGTTCAGATCCGCTGAGTCCCATTTTGGACCAAACTAGTTCACAATGAACTGAGAGACTCTTGGTGGGGAGAATTTCATAATAAAGTGTTTTTGTGTGTGAGTGTTGAGGGCTTAAAATGGGTCTATTTCGCTTGTTCGATGAATTAATGAAGAGCCGCTGAGCCCTTAGCAACATTTTGAGTTCATTCTCATACTCTGGCCTCATGTTTTCCACAAAAACTCACTTTTGGTCCACCCTGTCACAACTAATTATCCTTAAGCTCCTCTGTGCTCCTGTTTTAATTTTATACATGACATTTCTAAGTCAACATAGATAAAACAGCCTCCAGCCAAAACAGGTTTTTTCTTTCATGTGGTTTTCTCTTCAAAATAATAAACTTCTTCATCAACTTGGACAGAGAAAACACCAACATCGTTTGCCTTCACTGCAAAAACACAAAATCTTATCAATCTTTGTCTAGTTTCTAATGCAAATATCATGTTACACTTGAAATTTCAGAAAATTAACTCAACAGTAATGTTTCAGGAAGATATAGGAGCTTACTTATCGCTTTTTCATCAACATTAAGTAATTATTGTGTCTTTGTCTGGTGAATATTTTGGTTAAATGTGTTTGTTTTTCATTCGATGGGCAGACAATCCAGAAATTTTACTCACGGCATAATAAAAATACTTTGAAAATACTTACTTAATTGATTAAAAGTAGTAGTTAGTATCCAGCTCTAGCGAGTTCCACACTCTCGATCCCAATTCAAATGTACCATTCAGAAAATAGTGCATTTGTTTCAGAAAACCCACTTAATATCATTTTTAGAATTACATTACACATATTTTTAAATATTCTACCTCTTATGGAAACACCGGCTGTACTTTATTGGTCTAAATGAATAAGTTTTAAGCACCAATTAATAAAATAACACATTGCCAGTGGTCACCTTTTTTTAAAATCTGCAACTCAAAACGAAACTTGTCAGTCATATCTTGCATTTCCTTGCCATAAATATATATCAGGGTCAAACTGTTTCCACTCTTTAAATCTATTATGTTACCTATTAATTTGTTCAATTTTATGATTTTGAGTTGTAGAAATTGGTTTTAAATGTGGTTTTTATTGTTTGCAGGGCAGCTGACAGTGAAAGTGGACAACCAGTTTAAGGTGACGTGTGTGGTTCTTCACCCCGGCAGCTCGGACGTCTTCCTGTGTGGAGGTCACAGCCCGGCGGTGAAAGCCTGGGACTCCCGCTGCTGCAAGGTCAAACCTTCATCTCCCTTTGTCTTCGTCAGGCATAGCAAAAGTTTTCACAACGCTTAAATTTTCCATATTCTTATCACAATCGTACCAGCGCACACATTTTATTTGGATTTCAGAAGATAACATATTTGTTGTTGCCTGGAATATGTCTCACTTTAGAAAAGTAGTGTTGGATTTGTATGTACTGTAGATCAGTGTAATTTTGAAAAGATAAAATAAAAGAAATAATTATTTTTTACTGAACTGGTTAAGAGTAGAAAAGTACTTTGTAAAAAGTCTACTTAACTAAGTAACTGATCAAATTATCAGCCATTTAATATCTAAAAATCATCAGACAAACCAAAATGTGAAGTTAAATAAGAATTTTGGTATTTTAATTATGAAAATGATAATTCCTAGAATATAAAATAACAAAATCAGGCAGAATGTTTTTTTTCCCCCAAATCAGTTTCTTTCATCATAAAATGTATTAAACTTTAACAACAACTGCTGGTGAATTTCTGGTTAAAATATTTTTATTTTTCATTGAGTGGATAGAAAATCCATAAATTTTACTCCAGTAAGAGTAGAAATACTTCATAATATAATTAATCAATTAAAAGTACAAAGTACAGCATAGAGAAAATACTCCTAAAAGCAAATGTTTTCAAAAAAGTTACTGAAGTAAATGTGAGTTATTAATGTACGATATATCGTAACAATCAACATCGGTATCAGCCGATACGAGTCATTTTTTAACATAACATTGGTTTGAAAAAATAAAACTGGGCTAAAATGAACAACTAATATTTATTTTTGTTTGTTTGTAGTTGGGCTTTTCCATATGTGTTGAAACGATAGTAAATATAATATTGGTAAATATAAGTTTTCAACCATAACAGAAATATTAATATAGATATCAGTCCAGATTATCGTATCGGTGCATCCCTCGTTGAAGTCGTGCTACTCTGTGTATAACTAACCGTTTTAATCCCCATAAATTGTTCATGTGAAGCTGCAACCTGACATTTCTATTAAATCTAATGGGTTATTTTATATGATAATCCTGCTCACTTCCTCTGAATCTACATGTTTGCATGTAATTTCTTCCTTGAGCAGCCCGACTCGGCCCTTAGCAGGGATTTTAGGTTCAACCCAGCGGAAATGCTGCTGCCAGCGGGCGTCAATATGAGCTGCAAACAGAGCGTGGCGCAGTCCTCTCTGAAAACGGTAAAGCTGCAGAGCCCGGGGTGCGGCTCGCTTTCAGGCTTCAGCTGCTGTTCTGTGGAGTAAAGCTTCCCCGACGGATCAAATCCAGTCCGCCCAGAGGCTCAGCCAGGCAACCTTTAGTCTGAAGGCGGCTGGACTCCAGAGGTCCTCCTGCGTTACGTCAAGCCTCTCTGACTGGAGCAAAAGAGGAGCCTGGCGCAGGTAGAGTGAGAGCAGCCGCCTCCGACAGATAAGATCTGTTAAACCAGAATCATTAAGGATTCTTCCACAGTAAGGAAAAGGCCCCCCTGCTGTTTTTGTTTAACTGATTTGGATCAAATTTGTGGACCTATTATGCAAAATTCACATTTTGGATATTCTTTTGGGTTTCTGCTCATTCTTTCCAACTCTTGGAAATTTTTCCTCAAACACATCGCTTGGCAATAAGTTCATGTTTTCTGAGTGTCTGGAAAATGAGCTGTTTTGAAAACCTCCAAAATGTTAAGTCACCGTCCCGTTACCTAGCAACCCACGCTGAGCTCCAGCACTGTTGGTCAGCTGGTTTTACCGCTGTATTCAAATTCAAACTCAAGGATAAAGGGAAGTTAAATGTTGTTGTAGCTCATTAATTCAGATTCTTCGAATAGTTATTGAAGATTGTGATCTCTTGTAGCCGTCTATATTGCAGCGAATCTGAAGAAGCCTCTGACTGAAGATAGTCTATTTTCTCAACAGTCTCATGAGGACGATGGTCAGTGTACAATGGCTACTGGAAAAGACAAAAGTGTTTTGTTGTTAACTTTCCATCCAGAAACCTCTTACTGAATTCTTATTGGTTGTGCGGGAGGCTCCAATTTTGTTTTTCGAAGATGTATGATTGTATTACCATGTATCTATTTGACACAAACATCTCTAAACTTTCACCCAGAAGAACTGATTTCCCTTTTAAATTAGTTCTAAATATGTGTTGTACCACGCAGAAAAGTTTAAGTCTCTCCAAAGTGTTTTGTTTGTGACTTTTGTCCCAATTTTTGCCTCAGCTGTCTGACAGATGGCCTCAGATTTGACTCTATCTTTGTGTGATCAACACTTGGTGCTCTGACTGAAGAAGTGTGTGGTCATGTTACACCGCACAAATACAAAATCTTACAAAAAATGGTTAATCTAGTCTCCAGTACATCTTAGAACACTTGAAATAAGACAAAACGATCATTTCATTGGCAAATAGTTTCACTTATAACAAGACATTTTGCCCATATTATTTAAACTTTAAATTCTAATGAACATTTAGAACATTTACCATTTTAAATATTTATAAAATTACTAGTTACATTTACTCACCATAAACCAAAAACACCAATAACTCACCATAAACAGACACATAGCTGCAGTTTTTGTTAAAGTTTTATAAGTTTTTAATTTAAATTAACTGATTTGGAAACATTTTATTGTTATTTTATGTTACTTATGCAAATTATTGTCATTTTGGTCCATAAAATACCAAAAGTTCCACTTAACTTTTTATTTTGAGTCATCTGATGACATAATTTTTAAATATTAAATGATTGATAATTTGGTCAGTTACCCCGAACATTTTGCCGAATATGTTTTTACTCCCGTTGAATAATTTCTTGGACAGCTCCTTTATACTTTTACTGGAGTCAAAATAAGTTGAAGTGTTGCTACCTTTACTAACTGAGTTCAGTTTTTGGTACTCCGCCCACCTATGCAATAATAAAACACCAGAAAGATTTGATTTAAATATCACCTCTAAGCTTTTATACCTGAAGATTTTTCAGTAATACTTTTAGTTAGTCATGATTTTAATCACGTGTTTTCACCTGAAGGTGGTTAAAACCTACAAAGCGGCCGTCCAGCAGACCCTGGACATCCTGTTTCTTCGCAGTGGGATGGATTTCATAACGAGCTCTGACTGCGTCAGCCGGGACTCCGCCGACCGGACGCTGATCGCCTGGGATTACCGCAGCACAGCCAACATCTCTAACCAGATCTACCACGTAAGCAGAACTAAAAATGAAATGACATTTGGCCTCATCTGGCAGTTTCAGGCTTAAACTTACTGAATCTGAACAAATTGTTTCGAATTGTAGAGTAAATGGATTTCAGTTGTTTGTTTTCGGGGTTGAATTTCTGCTGGAGGAACTCATGTTTCCCAACAGGAGCGATACACGTGTCCAAGCTTGGCTCTCCACCCGGTGGAGGAGACGTTTGTGGCCCAAACCAACGGGAACTACGTGGCGCTGTTCTCCTCACAGACGCCCTTCAAAATGAACAAGAAGCGACGATTCGATGGACATAAGGTCAGGAAATACCTCAGGTTGGATTCCTGGTGACAGCTCTGCATAAAGTAACGCATGACTGTGAGGCTAGCGGCATTCTGAAAAGTGTGGCATGTCGATCCTCGTTTACTGTGTTTTCATTAAATAAAATCCAGGGCCATACTAGCTTTATAAAAAAAATTATTATAAGAATAAAGTAATATTTTGAGAATAATCAAAATATTTCAAGAAGAAAGCCATAATACAATGAGAATAAGTAATATTGTGACTTTATTCTTGAAATATTGTCTTTCTTCTTCTAATTTTATGACTTTTTTCTTGTACTTTTTTTATTTTTATCATTTTTATTTTAGCGTAATACTCCGTCCTTCAGAACAAATGCTTGCTAAACTTTTCATATTTTTCATTGTTAAAACACAAAAGTTTAAAACAAGCAGTAACGCTGAAATATAATAAGTAGGTTGGATCTATTTAAATTGTAAATATTTCCATCTTCTAAAGCTTCAAATCACAGAAAGAAGCTCAGACTTTAAAGCTGATTTAATCTACCTCAAGATATTTGTGATAATTTTTAAAAAAAGATAATTTTTCTAACTTGCTGATTTTAAAACCAGCTTTGGATGGAAGTTTGATGCTTTGCAACATGAATGTGGTTGTAGGTGGAGGGTTATGCCGTCCGCTGTGGCTTTTCCCTGGATGGAGCCATCTTGGCCTCGGGGAGCTCCACCGGTTCGGCCCACTTCTACGAATATCAAAGCACTCGCGCTTTGCACGCCATCCAGGCGCACAGTCAGCCATGCATCTGCGTTTCACCGCATCCTGTGCTTCCTGCGACGGCGGCCACTTGTGACTGGGCAGGTGAAATCAAGATCTGGCACTGAACTGGAAAAATACCCACAGATTCCCTCTAAAATGTGTGCAAAGACAAAAAAACACAGCGTCGTATTTAGGCCGATAGAAGGAGGAGTAAATTTACGTCAAAAACCTCAGAAATTGTAAGATTAATCTAAGAAATTTTCTGGAAAAAACAAGGACATTTCTGAGCTCCAAAAGTCAAAAATTTGAGAGAAACAAACCTCAGAAATTTTAGGATTAATATCAGAATGAAACTGGGAAATTTCTGAGTTTGAAAACATGAAAATCTGCTAAAACAAAAAAAAAAAACTGAGATGCATTAGATTAAGTTTCATATTAATCTACTACATTTTCCAGAAAAAAAAACATGGACATTTCTGAGCTCCGAAAGTCAAAAATATGTGAGAAAAAACCCTGAGATTTTGAGATTAATCTAAGAAATTATTTAGAAAAAAATAATTTCTAAGTTTAAAAAGTAAAAAAAAATGCTAAAAAGATTTTAAAAAGTGTTTCAAAATAATTTGGTTTATTTGGACATATTTGGCTTTTGAAATTTAAATATGTCCAAGTTTTTCTAGAAACTTTTTGATGTCATGTAAAAAAATTTTCAGCTTTTTGGCATAAATTTACTCCTTTTTTTTATCTTTTTCTGGCCATGATGGCACGAATACGCCATCATACAGAAAGATTGTTGGCGTATTTAAGTTACTGTGGATTACTACCTCCTAAAATAATTTGTATGTTGTAAAATGGATGCAGACCATTGGTCGAACTGAACCTCATGCATTTTCTGTGTTTTTTGTAAAATAAAATATAAAGAGAAATGTTTTCCTCATTAATCTTATTATTTTCATCTGACATTCTCCTTTCACACTGTAAACTTCATTTAATGTTTTTTTGGGGGGAAATTAACTTTTTCTTGTAAAGGAAATCTACATTAAAGAATAAATTATGTGAAATAATGACCTTTTTCCAAACACTCATCTTTATTAAGTAAATAAACATACAGAAAAAATATATAACCATGCATCAGACAAACAGACGTGTTGACATTTAGACGACGGGCCCAGAACCGAGCTGGAGGTCGGATAGAACAGAACCGCTTCAGTCTTATCATCATTCAGGGTCAAAATGCTCAATAAATATAACATCAACTAAAACGAGATAAAAATAGTCATATAAGTGTAACAGTTATTATATATATGTAATATCTGCTTTTGTACATTGTGTCAACAACAAAAATATCATCCCCGCTTTGCAGTCATTCATATTTTTCACCATCTTGCTATTTATATATTACTCTAGTTTGGAAGGATTTCTGTGTTTCAGTGTCGTACAAAATCTTTAAAACACCTCTGATGGTTTGAATCAGTTCTCAGATCTCTGTGAATTAAGGAGGTAGAGGCATCCAAAATAAAATCCGTCCATCACATGAAGGGCGAAGCTGAGTGCCTGCTAGTAGCAGCGCGTCCGTCGGCGGTCCTCACATCAACGGAGGAAGAAAACTGATGTTGCACCCTGGTCATTTTGCAAACTTTAATATGAAACTGAACAGCAAAAGAATCCGTCTTTTTAAATGAACCATATTATATTTAGCTTCTTCTTATTTATTTTACTTGTTTTTTTGCACCTACCAACAGGACAACATGCCTTTCTGTTTATGTTTATACTGCATCTGTTTTCTTTTTTGTTTTTTTCTCACAGTGTTTAGCCTAACTGGGCATGCTGGTTTAAAGCAACACAGTGACTCTACGGTTGAAGACTTAACCAGTTCTTTCTCAGTTCATCTTTTTACTGGTTTTTCAGGAAAAATCTGGGCAAAACTATCAGTACAGGAATCGGCTGAAACGTTAATGTAGCTGCACTTTTACTTTGGCTTACAGTGGGCTACAGCGTTGGATGTTACAAAAGAAGCATTTCAGATAAACACGTCTTCTGTTTGAAACGGGTGGGATCCTTGAAAAATCCACCTTGTGTTCTTGCAGACAGGAAGTAGAAATGCAGGAAAGATGTTTACATACAGAGACAGAAGCTCAGTTATACAGTATGTACACAGCATATTGGAGTCTGTATAGGAAACCATTCTGCTTGTCTAGTGAAAGAGGTTAAGGCAAAGTGTCCTGGTTTAACTACTGTGCCGGTCAGCCAACAAATTCCACATTTAATTTTGATATAAAAATATGAAAAACTCCAGGCGTATAAAATCAGACTCCTGCAGCTTATATTTATACTCCTACTGTGCTATTATTTGTTTTGTTTGCAGCTGACAGAAAAAATTAATACACACTGCATAACAAAACCATTTTATTCTCACTTTCTGGCTTCAAATCAGACTAAACTTTCCCTGTTTTAGGTCTTAACAGAAAATCAAAAATCATTTATTTGTTCCTAAATTCCAGGACAGATGTACTGATAATGAAAAAATTAGGCGCGCTACTCTAAAGCGCTAATTATAAAAACAAGTTCCATGAATGCTAAAAGTATTCAGCATTCATGCTAAAGTGCTAAACTCAATGCATGTTATTTTTTGTAACATGTTTTACAACAAATTCCACTTTAGAATCTCAATCAAATCCATGTAGGGGAAGCTATGTGTGGTAAATGCCTCGAAAGTTAGCGAAAATGCTACAGAGCTAAATCAAAAATTAGCTCTGCTCTTAGCAAATTAACAGAAGTGTGATTATCATCGTCCCAGGAAATGTAAGTAACCTTCTGAATTGGGAGAAAATTCTAAGAAAAAGTGTTTTTATTAAGTAAAATCAGTGGTATTTCTACAAGTTTCACAAATGCTAAAGCTGCTAGCCAAACAAATATATATCAGAAGCTAATGCTAAAACGCTAAACTCAATCATGTGTTCATAACACATCATGTGTTGCAACAAATTAGCACTTTATAAATTCAATTAAGTCCAAGTAGGGAAAGCTAATCGCTCTAAATGTCTTCAACGTTAGCTAACATGCTAAAGAGCTGAACAAAAAATCAGCTCTGCTCTTAGCAAATTAACAGAAGTGTACTTTCCACTATTCTAGGAAACATGAGTAAGCTGCTAAATTTGAAGAAAAATCTATTACTTTAGAAATCACTAATATTTCTGACACGAAACAGGAACGCTTTAGCCTGACTTAATGTCACATTGTGATTAAAAAGATATAATTTTTTTTCTTCAGTGTACCTACATTTCTTGTTTCTACTGCACTTTATTTCTAATGAATCGATAAATTGTTTCACTAGTGTATTTTTAACTTTATTTTTATCCTATCATCTATTTACTCACACATAAAACAATTAATTCACTATCTCAGTATTCAAGTTTTAAATGTAGCTTGAAGGAGAATAAATGTTTTGTTATGTATAAAAATTAAATGCCAAATAAATCAGAAAGTTATCAGAAAGTACAAGTATTTTACTTTCTGATAATTTGCCTGTGCAAACTACTTCAGCTTTTCTTTTTGTTTAATTAAACATGCATTATTTGGTTATGACAAAATAAATATTTTTAACAGCTTACAGTCAGCACAGTGTACAACACACCATAGATCTCTTGCTAACATGAGTAAATAAGACACTCCGTAAAACATCATAAAAGGCATTAAGTATGAAACATAAATAAATCAACGTACTGCTTCTCAGCCTTTAAAACAGACTCCTCTGTTGGAATACAACCAATGACCAAACAGATCACTGTCTCTGACACATTATGCTCACAAACAACTCTGCGTGTCGTTTGTGAGCATAATGTTACTCAAGTAAGAAAATACTTTCTTTTTACATCAATTTTCTGTCATTCTTCATTTCAAAATATTTGCTGATGTCTGCAGATCACTTTCTTTGTGTTTGTACTTTTCTTCATATCTGAGCCAAATGAAAGAGGGAGGAGAAAATCTGAAGCTGCTGTTTGGTTGTTTACAAGTATTTTAACTTCCATAAGTGCCGCATTATCTTAAAAACTCAAAGACCTCAACATTGTAGGTATGAAAGCATTACTTCTGCAGTAGGTAACCTCTCCCCAGCCAAACATTAATTATGTGGAGAAAAGTGAGGCTTGTACAATTATAGCATGCAGACACATGCCTCTGCACATCAAGGAAGCAGAAGTTACAGTTCCTCTCTAATTTGTGCCAGTTTTAGTGTTTTGAATGAGAGTTTTTGATGATATCGTTGGTGATATATGCCCTCTAAACGGGAGTTGGTGTTTAGCTTCTCACTGATCTAGCAGCATACTGGTGGCCATTCCTGGAAAAGAAATTACGAATAAAACTTTCTTTACAGCTGGTATATCTGGTTGCTACAGTGTATCAAGATGCACAATAGAAAACATGTTACAGACTGCATGAAGCGTGCCTTGGCTAAGATACAAAAAGGGACAACAGCTTAACACCTTATCACATGAATGTGTTTGCTTTAGGGGAGACATACAGTGCAGTACAGTATGGACTCTTCGTCATTGGCATGCATAAACTGAAGCTTCTCTTCCACACTCAGTTCAAGAGCGTACCATAGAGCTGTGCCTTGGTCAAGCTGTCTTTCCTTGTCAATCCTGTGCTCCCAAACTTTTGGTACCTTGGAGAAGTTTTCTTTGGGAGCGCGGGGCCTACACTGAGAGCGGAACTGGAACTTGGGCGAGGACGGATCGTTGGCCTTGGCGCTGGGTAGTGCTGAAGACTCGAGGCTTCCAGGGAGCTGTGGTGTAAGGACTCAGCCGAGCTGTCCACGCTCAGGTTCACGTAGTCCTTCTTTGCACTGTTCGCAGTTGTTGCAGCCCCACTGCTTTTCTTGTCTTTAGAGCTTCCTGAGAGGAACAGACTTCCCTCGGAGTCTTGACTGTCATTCTTGGCTCGGTACAGCAGAGATGTTTTCTCTGACTTGCGATGCTCCTTGGGTTTCGGATTGTGGCTGGGTGAACCCATAGAAAAACACTGGTCAAGCACGTGGCTGTGGAAGACATTGTCTCCTTCTTGGAAGCTGCTGTAGAGAGACTCTTTGAGTTTACTGGAAGGGCCAATTGCAAACTGTCGCTCAGAGAAGCTGTAAGGCGAGATCCGCCCTGCAATGTTGCGATAAGACGAGAAAGTGTGGATGTCTTCCACGCTGAGCTGTTTCCAGCGGACACTCAAGTCGTCCTCAGGTACGTCATTTTGGCTCTCCAAAGCTCCACCTTGAGCCTGGCCCAGTCCAGTTGTAGACCCCATGCTGTGGGATGAGGCGAGGCGAGGGGAGCTCGAGTGGTATGGTTCACTGAAGCACGAAGCTGTCCTTGTGTACGATGGTGACGTACCCTTCTGGGGACTCCTAGTGGTCACCATATGCTGAATGCTGTGCGACTTGGAGAACCCGGGAACTTCTTTGTCATACGAAGACAAGCTCTTGCGTTCATAGTCCCCACTGCCACCATCTCGCCAGTCTATGTACAGGCCCTGGTGGGACGAGGATAAGGTGCTGCTGGCAGTGCGCCCACAGCCACCGCTAACTGCTCCCTTCTCATCCGATGCGAGGCTGAAGCTGGAGTATGAACTCGAGGCCGGGAAGCTGCCAGTGCCAAACTCATCATGGTGGTGGAAAGACGTTGGCGGGTCATGGTGGGAGAAGCTGTCGGACTGGAAAGGATCATCGTCTGGGTTACTCTCTAAGGAGGTCTGGGCGTGCAGCTGAAGCAGGGCGGTGCCATGGAGGTCAACGCTTTGCCTGCGTTCTGTGTCTTGCCATCGCTCAGGACAATACAGGGCCGTGTCGCTGCAGTACAGGTCCGATGTCTTGTACGAAAGGCGGCGGTTCAGGTGATCGCTGCTTCCTGTTCCAATTAGAAAGTCTCCATCCTGAACGTGGGCGCTTGTGGGGCATGTTACAGGGGAATCTCTTCCAGGTTCAGGCTTTTCCAGGACCTTGGCAATTATGGCTGTGGGCACTTCTTCAGGGTAGTTAGGGTGACACATTGCTATGGTGGCTCCTCTACTCCGGCTATGTTTCTCCATGTAAGAGCTGATGCGTTCCTGGAAGTCTAGCGGCAGCTAAGGAAGAGAAGCCAAAGAAATTTGGGTTTCAAATTTAGATTCACATCAGTGTTTCGATATAGTTGTAACTCCTGAGGTTTGTCTTCTTTTCCACAAACTTGTATCTTCACTTTTTTCTTGTATTTGTTGTATTATTAGCTGCGTTCCCATTACAAATATGAAAAAAACTTTGTTGATGTTCCACTGATATTTGAAAAAAAACACAAATTCACAATTGCAGTGTTTCCATTAAAACTGCTGTAAGTTTTATAAAGAATATGTTGTTTTACGTATTTGTTCAAACGTCACCATGTCATGATAGTTTGAGTCAGATAATCTGAAAAGATCGATCTCCACCGTCTCCATGTGCTATTACTGCCATTTAAAGAAATGCACCGTTCCCGCCCAAAAACAACCAATCAGAACCAGGAGGAGTGTCTCTGTGCTGTCACTCACCCTCATGTTCATGCTGCTACATGTGCTATAGTGGAGAAACAACTTACTCTTACAGGAAAACATTCATATCCTGTCATCTGTGGCTACGCTAACTAGCATGAGCATTCACAACAGGCTCAGTTGATGGGGAAATGTGGGCAGCGCCGTACAAGATTGTGATTGACATCGCTAAGACCTGCCTCTGGGCTCTGATTGCTCATTTCTAGTCAGCACTGGGAGTACAGGGTGGAGGTAAAGCAACTTGAATTTTTCACAGATTATTTGTCTCATACCAAACTGTCACCATATAGTGACAGTTTCAACAAATATGTAAAAAAAATATACATATAAGGAAGAGAATAAAACCAGAACAAGCGGTTATTACGGGTTCCTCGCCCATTGCCCCGCCCCTCCCTGCACAGTTGGTTCTGGCAATAAGATTTATCTTATAATCGTCCTCCTACAACTTCTTGCCGTTTTCCACTTGACTTTTTGTTTTCATTTAGCAAATTTATTTTTGTAACTCCAATTTGTGTTAATGGAATCACGTCGAACAATGTTTCAATTAAAAAGTAGTTCAGCCTAACAGGCCAAATCTTTTTAAATTGTTTCTTCAAACTTTCGTTTTCTCTCTCAGTTTGTGCTCATTAGAAAAAACCTACTGGTTCTTTGTAGCCAATAAATTGATCAGAAACTTTTGCTGCCACACCAACCTCTTTCTTCTTCCCCTCTTTTTTATCCTTTCATCTTTTCTCTGTAGCTTCGTTGCCTTCTCAGCCGAGACACCCTCACTTCCCCTCCCTTTGTATTTTCTCAGTGTCTCTTTCTTCTGTCTACCATCAAAAAAACCTCTGATATCAGTTCCTCAGGGACCAAGTCATATTTAAATTAAACTGGTGGTCTAAGTCTCCAGCTGGGCTTTAAAAAAACTGTCTTTTTTGGCTTTGTTAAGAAATAGATGCTTGTGCTTGCATGAAATAAGCTGCATTTTTAAAGTTGGAGCTATTTTTAGTAGCTATTGACTCTCCCACAGGGAGCAGAGATGGAAAGTAGGTGAGCCTTTGAACGAGCAGCGTATGATAATGTGGAGTTTGCTCTGCAAGGGAGTTAAATCAGCATTGTGTCCGATCTAAATCACATCTTAATTAACAATCACAAAGTATTGCAGTGTTATTCCAACCGGAATGGAACAGGAAGCCATAAACTGATTGATCCATTTAGTTATTTTTAAAGAAAACTGATTCGTCATTAGTTCCACCGAAAATCTGGATCTTTCCATGTCAAAAACCAGAGATCAGACACAGAGGTAAAAAGTGGGTCATTGGATTTTAGGATCTGGAAAGTTTGATGTTTACAGATCATTTCCATCCAGATTGAGAGATTTTTCTAAAGAAAATTAGGCAAACATTTCAGTCTACAGATGAGACAAACTCCAAAAGTTTGCAGCTTTAATTGCAGCCGAAAGGTTTTGATCCAGGGAGTCTAAGGACAAACGCCTGACTCACTTTGTCAGATCTGTAGCTTTAAAACAATGAAAACAGTGTGAAGTTTCTCTTTCACTCCACATTTCTGTTTGTTAAGTCTGTTGCAATAAAAAATAAATCAGTTAATTGCATGATAAATTAAAACAAGCTCAATAATTTTCATTTGCACGATTTATCCTTTTCCTCTCTACCAAAAACTGGCTTATAAAACTCTTCAGTCTGGAGTTTTGGTCTCAACTCGCTCTTTCTTTACAGAGACTTCATAATTTTGTTCATTCTGTTGTTTTATTTATTGTGGATGTCTTCCATTAAAATACCCCTTAAAGTAAATTTTTCCAAAGCAGTTACTGAACAAGTAACTTTTCAGCAAGATATAGGATCTTATGTTTTAGAAAAACATTTCTTTATATGAACAAAAACTGATTATTTCACTTTCAACATGAAATAAGTGAAATAATCTCATTTAATATATTTTATGTTGCATAATCAGTCAAATCATGTTGCATGCAAAGGCAGACAGTTGTCAACCTTCCTCTTTGCTTCTGTTTTAATGTCCTGGTCATCAGCTGCTGCCTGTAAACAGCCCTTTATTTGCCGATTCATTATGCAGACGCCTCGTCAGACAGCAGACCTCCATCAGTCTGACTGAAGAGGCCAAGAGCGCCGTTGCTCCGTCTCTTTGTGAAATCCACTCATCAAGGTTTCAATCTGGCACCGCAGCTCTCTCCAGACTGATTCAAGCACTAATTAGAAGCTGCTAATCGACATGGAGAACATTTTGTATGTTTTACAGGTTTTTCAAGTCCTACTGCCTTGTTTGGATGCATATTTGCTCACCTCAGATGACTTGTGAGCTCTGTAGTGAGACTTGGAGCATTGCAGCAGCTGGGCGGCCAGGTTGCAGTCTTTCCTGTACAGGTCCTGTAAGAGACGAAAGATCTCTGGAACTACTGGGAAAACCCTTTCTGATGGAAATTTGAATATAAGCACACGCATTCAAATTGGCCTAGACAGCCTCAAGCATTGAATGGTTAGAAATCTACAAAATAACTTCTTCATCAGTGCAAATCAGAAGTTTACATTCCTCCATCGTATTTTCTTCTGCAACGAACTTATGAAGATGTTTTGCTCAATAATAAGACACATTTTGCCACATTTTAGTCTGATTTTTATAAGAAAGGAAATAAAATAATTCTGACTTTAATCTTCAGAAGAAAGTCAGAAATTTAAGACTTTTTTCCGTTGTTTCCAATCTTCAAAACCATAATGTTATTTTTCTAAATCTGTTTTACTTACTGGCATTTTCAGCTACAAAAACATAAATAAATAACATTAAGTAATACAAACTAAATGTTATCAAACATGGAACATATGAACAAAGAATGGTTCATTTCTTGGTGTTGCAGAGGAAATATATAATACCAACCTGTTCACTGCTGCTGTTTCTCAGCTGCTGTCATTTTCAAACTGTCCAAATAATATGGCACTTTGTTGCTACTCTGCATTTTAAAATCCAAATAATTATTTTTAGTTTGTTGCTGGAACAAAGTACACTGCAAAAATACAAAATCTTACTAAATATTTATGACTGAGTTTATAGTGCATATATTTTATTACACTTGCAATAAGACAAACTGACTTAAAGTAAATAATTCCTTAATATTGATGAAAGATTTCTGATTCTATGGGCAGATTATTTAATTTATAACATGGGGAAAATGTCTTAATATAAGAAAATATTCTACCAAGGAACTAGCACAATGGAAAAGAAAATCAAGCTCCAATATCTTGCTGAAAAGTTACTTGTAAGTTAGTTTTGTTTTATTTTAAGTGTACTGAGATATTTGCATTAGAAACTAGACCAAAAATAATTGGTAGGATTTAGTGTTTTTGCAGTGCAGTGGTGGCAGCATCATGCTGAGGGATCATCTCACTTCAAATCAACAGCAGGGAGCAGAAAAGTGACTCAAACACATTTAATTAGGTTTGGTAAAGTTTTATCCTTTACCAAGGATAAAACTTTACCAAGTTTTATCCTTGGTAAAGGATAAAACTGACCAGCATTAAGCTGCTGGAATCAACCAGATTTTAAAACATTTAAATATTTATTATGTGCATTAAAGCCAAACTAGTTCTTTCATTTCTGAAAAATGAAATAAAATCCAGCTGAAAATGGAGGATTTATTGTTATGTTGTCATATTTCTCAGCTCGTCTGCCATTAGCGGTTTGCAGGCTGTTGAAACGATCACCAGTTTTTAATATGAACGTCTCCTATCTATGCAGAGCAGACTTTGCTAATCTTGTTAAAGCATTTAAAGCAGCACTTCCACTTATCAGCGCCCTCCAGAACAGAGAGCAAGAGAAAACTATTCCTCCTTCTGCGCTCCGTCTCATGAAATCTTGATTTTGTTTTTGGTTTTTAATTAATATTTCCCAAACGATAATGAAGGTTTAGTGTTTTCCTCTGGCTTTGTTCATGCGTGTGTGTTTTCACGGCTTTTTTCGGTCCTGTTTGTTTTAAAACGGTCAGTTCTTGTAACACTGTCGCCTCCCGAGAGCTTCAGTTTCAGACGATGTTTACCAACCAGCCACTATTCAAAAGCAAACTTTACATTTTTAAACAAATATTTGCATGAACCAACAGTTGCATTTTGCATTGCTTAATTAATGTAAGGCAGGATTTTTTTTCTTCACAATCCTCACACAGTTCGGTTTTACATGTTGATTCTTTCAATAAATAGATGAATTATCTTGGATTATAACTGTTTTCTTCCAGTAATCTGTGTCATTTGTTGGATTATCAGCATTAAAATCATTTAATGTCAATGATAGTTGGAATAATAGTTTAAATTTACTGATTCACCAACTCAATGTTTACACTCATGCAAACAGATGCACAATTTCACAAACATGCATCTTTGAAAAGCAGAAGTGCAGCCTCCTGCAAAATCAACAAGAATGTAGCAAGTGGCTTGTGGGTGGCGAGTATTTTAACACACATAGGCACAGGGTTTGTTTGTTTTTTTTAATAAACTACTTTGTGCCAACTAAATAAGGGAGTTTTGAACAATACAAGCTTTTCCCCTCAGTGTCTGAAAAGGGTTTTTAAACTGTAGAGTTTAAAAAACACTTGTCTTTTCCAGCAGCCATTGCACGGCGGTGAAGCCAGCTGACAAAACAGGCAACAGGTTTTAGCTTAGCTGGAGTTGCTAGGTAACGGCCATTGCCTGCTGATTTGTGACATTTTAAAAATTTTGGTTGGGTTTTTTTTAAGCACCTGGGTTGCTTTAAGAAGCAGCAGAGACCTAATGGATTTGAAAAAAAAAATTAAATGTGAATTTTGCAAAATAGTTCCCTTTTAAAGGGACTTTGGTTTGCTTTTGAGGATATAAAAATCCATTCCTGTCATTTTTGTGCTGCTTTCCTGCTGCTAGAAGATAAGAAAACAACCACAGCAACAATATTAACCAGCGCATGCACTGCAAAAGTCTCACAAAGTAAGTTTATTATAATTTCTTGTGCAAATATTGAAAATAAAACAAAACTAACTCACAAGTAACTTTTCAACACGATATAGGATCTTGGTAAAACTCCTAAATTTTATTCTTCCACTAGGATACGGAGGTTTTTCAGGAGAACTGAAATCGGTTTATTTCGCAAAACTGCCTTGTTATTCCATTGGCAGATTATTTCACTTATAGCAAAACAATTTGAAATCATCTGCCAGTGAAACTACAACTTTTTCATCAATATTAAGAATTAGTTGCTCAAAATAAGCTCCTATATATTCTTGAAATATGAGTTAGTTTAGTCTTATTTCAAACATTCGCACTTGAAAGTAGACCAAAAACGCTTTGTCAGATTTTGTGTTTTTGAAGTGTTAAAAACCAGCTGACCAATCGTGCTGAAGCTCCGGTTCGGTTGCTAGGTAGCGACAAAGCATGACCTATCTATCAGGAAGTTTGTGAAACCGCTCGTTTTCCAGACACCAAAAAGCCATTAGCTAATCGGGTGATTTTATTAAACACTTAGTATGTTTTTTAGAAGCTGTTAAGACCCAAATGGAAGAATAAAAACATCCAAAATGTGAATTTTACATAAAAGGTCCCATTTAAAGCATCGAGTTTGACAAAAAAATAAACCAGAAGCAATCTACGAGGAGTCAAAGCATTGCACGACTCCCTCTCTGTGCTCTCTCTCTGGAGGAAATGTCTGCCAAACTGCTGGCTCAGATGGATCGAGGGAAATTGGCAAAGTGCTATGTACCTCAGAAGTGCTAATAAGGGCCATCGAGGAGAAAGAGGAAGGAAAAAAGACCCAACCGAACTTAGAGGCTGCACACAGAAAGCCAGTAAAATCACTTCAAAGAAAGCAAGGCACTAGATTGCCATGTGCCCTTGAGCTGAGAATCAGACTCCGACTTCTCCCCACCCTCAGGAAGCTCATTGATTTCTGTATAATCACTATAAAACACCCAGTGGCTTAGAGTTAATTCCTCTATCTGCTGTGGCACCTTGAAGCGCAAATATCCAGGATGCTGCAGAAATACAGCGGCGACGACTGGAAGCATCAATAGTTAGAGGGAGAAAGCAGATTTTTGAAGAGTTGTCATTTCTGCTTTCAAAAAAATTACTGACCAAGCAAAGAAAATGCAGATTTGTCCCCCCCTAAAAATTGCTTTTTTAATGTGGGAAATGTTTCATTCAGAAAACTCACATCTGTGGAAATCAGTTCCTGGAAGGCGCTTACTCACGTTGTCCTCTCTGAGTTTGTTGATGGTGATCTTTGCCTCCATGAGGTGATTGTTGAGAACAATGATTTCCCGGCTGAGCGCTCGCTTTTCCTCCTCATGGTGCTGAGACTGCAGGGAAAGGACAGACGAAGCACAGCAGAGGAGAAATTGGGGACAAAAGCAGAAAAAAAACAAGAATGAGTCAGTAGATTGTAGATGGAAGTTGGGAAGATTTAAAGGAAAGAGTTGAGATAATAAAAACAATGACGGCGAAGTCATGTTGAAAACGATAAGAGGGCAAGAAAAACTAAAGTGTGACGTCAATTAAAGTGACATTTTCAGCACGTCTTCATTGAAAGATTACCATATGTCCCTTTCTAGCATATGTGATGCAAGAAAGGGACAGAAAATAACAAATTAAACACTTATTGCGATTTTTACGGCTCTGTTTTAGGGTGAATGTTGACAAAAAAAAGGAGTAAATGCCAAAAAACAGAAATAGTTTTTGTTGTACTTTTCATTTTTCTTTAAAAAAAAATTATGCTAGTAAGAATTTTTACCCTGATTACAAATTAAAAATCTTCATCTGCATTAACAGGCCAAATTTGTATCATTTTTGATTTGCAGTTGGGGGCCATACAAAACCAGTCAGAGGGCCACGAATGGCCCTCAGGCTGCACTTTGGACAACCCTGCACTAGATTATAGGTGAAAGTTGCTAAAAATTAAAGGAAAGAGTTGAGATAATGAAAACATTGATGCCTAATCATGTTGAAAATGATAAGAAGCAAAAGAAAAATGAGAACAAGAAAGTGTCTAGAAGTGACGTTTCCAGCACGACTTAATTAAAAGAAGATTACATTTGGCAGAGCTCGTATCATATCAATTACTCTGGGAGAACAAGAACAGGACGCAGCGGGAGCAGGCGAAAATAAAACCAGGAAGACAAAACGACAAATGAAACACTTCCTGGGTTTTCAGCCGTTACAGTTGGAGAGCATTTAAGATTAACTGCAGCAATCTCCAAAAACTGATCGTGGCAATTATTTGCTCTTTATTTTGCACCTGAAACTCATTGAAACACTGAAATAAAGCATTTTTTTCTAAATTTTTAATGTTTTGGTACATTTTATTATAAAAATCCTTATTTACATATTAACAGCTTCATTCCCAGTTCAATTTGGTTTGATTAAGTGTTTAATAATATGCTATAAATAAACTAAAAGACAAAACTTAACTTACAAGAAACTTTTTAGAAAGATATAGGAGCTTGTTTCAAGTAGATAAAATAATTAAAAAATGAAATAAAAATTGAGGAGAAGGGTTTAGTTATAAGTGAAATAATCTGCCAGTTTTTTCTCATACATTAAAATGTCTTGCAGATTATTATTATTATTATTTACTTTTTTTATTTACTTAAATTATTTTGTTATTTACTTAAATTAAGCTCCTATTTCTAGCTGAAAACCTACTTGTAGATCAGTTTTGTACTTCTTACTTTTACTTGAATAATTATAAAGTATTTCCACTGTTCTTTGAATAAAACTCTGGATTTTCTACCCACTGAATGAAAAACAAACATCAGACAAACACCTGCAGTTTTTGTTAAAAGTTTAACAAGTTTTTTTTATTGATTTAGAAACATTTCATTGTTATTTATTTTACATATTCCCATTTTGGTCCTTAAAATACCCAAATTTCCACTTAAGTTTATATTTTGGTCCATCTGATTATGCAATTTTCAAATATTAGATGATTGATAAATTGATCAGTTACTGGAATAGATTTTTCATAAATACTTTTTATTCTTTCTTTAATAATTTCTTGGCAACGTTTTACTTCTACTTTAGTACAATGTTTTTCTACCGACCTTTAGTGTTTCTAGTTGTAAACAACCTGCTAGCATCTGGTAGCTTATTTAGTACTAAGTCAATAAACATTAGCATTAGCATCCTGATGTCTCCAGCTGCTGAAGGTTCAATATTTACTCTGCTTTTTCCTGCTGCTGAGGGAAATCTCTGTTTATCTCTGTTTAGCTGCTAATAGTGGCGGTTTGCTGCCGAGCGTTTCTTTGTGCAGCGCGCCACAGCTTCATCTGCAGCCGTTTCATTGAGCTAAACTGTGATTCAGAGGATTAAGACGGATTAAATCCGAGGTGCCCAAAGAGCGGCCACCTGCAATTCAGACATGAAACTAATTTTGGCCCAATTAGATGCAGATGGAGACTTTTGTTTTGTAATCAGGGTAAAAATTTTATCATTTTTTTTGTACAGGAAAAAGTAAAGTACAGCACAAAGTATTCATGTTTTAACAAAAGGTAAAATGAAGAAACTTTTACTGAAACGTCAATTTTGCAGCATCCAATCAGCTTTTATTCTTCATTAAACTTGTCAGGAAGCTTTTTGAAAGAAACAACCCAAATCCTGTTCTAATTACTGAAGATAAATTTATTCAATTGAAGCCAAAAGAAACTTAAAACTAGACATCACAAAACAGCAAACATGCAAAATTAAAGTAGTAATAAGTGGTAAATATCGTCCCCCTCAAAAAAAAACTGAAATTTTGAGCGTAATCTCAGAAGTTTTCTTGAAATTTTCTAAAAAATTTCCGAGAAAATTCTGCATCCTGACTTATTATCTCTTGTCTTCCAATCACAGCAAAGGTGATTTGAAGAGAGACAGAAATAATCCCAGCAGCTGAAGGTCAAACTTGAAGGTCAGACAAACGCAGGTTATTATTACATCAATGTGGGCCGCCCACTTAACCATGAATCCAATCTTTATTTAATAAAGCCAATCAAGTTAGGATTTGTGATTAGATTTTTTTTTTTTTTTTGTGGAGAAAATTTGCACTTGCACATGTAGGAAACCAGCTTTTCTGTATGGAATGCTTGAAATGCCAAAAAGGTTTGTGGCAGAAATAAACAAAAAACAAATTACTGTAAAGGTTTTCTATTGCATGTTGGTGTGGGGACTGAGATTTCTGTGGAAGATGGTTTTATGTTTGTTGAGCCATTTCTTTGTTGGTTTGGTTATTTTTTTTTAGATCTCTGTCCTGCAAAATCCCCAAACGATGAATAATTTTTAGTTTTCTGGTAGAGTTCATAAATTTTTGTTTTTAAATGTTTGGAAAATAAAACAGCCTCACAGAACCACATAATAGAGGGTTGATAGAGGAGCCATGTTGTGATGACTTCCTGAAGGCGGAGTTTCAGAAAGAGCAGGAGTTTCTTAAAGAGACAGCGGCCCAATTACAGGTATATTTGAAGGTAAAATATTTACTTAAATGTGCTACAAAATGGAATTATGTGCATTAAAAATACATGATACTGCACCTTTAAGTATATATTTGAATATATCTTGTTGAAGATCCTACTGTGCATAATCCCAGAGAAACAGCATACTGACTCCAGGAAGGAACAAAAATTATGAATATTATCTTGTACTGTACTGTGTGATGGGTGGGGGTTTGTTTAAATATTTCTTCCTGAAACATGTGATCACCAAAACATCCTTATCAGCTGGCTTCAAACATGAAAGACGAAGCAATCTATGAAAACGAATATGCAAATCTGGACAAGCAATTGACCCAGTGGGTGAAAAGGGATTTGTTTAATCACCACATGGCGCTTTAATGAATCAAAGCCTGGCTTCATTCTTTTGATTGTAACTTCTTGCAATTACATTGAAACGTAGTGGATTAAAATCTTTATGTAACCAACTTGAAGAACTTTGTTTTAGTGGCGGTTTGGACAGATTTGTGGATGTAACAGGACGAAAAACAAAAGAAGAAGTTTGTTTTCTAAGATACCTTCAATTGTTTCACTTATTCTGCAGCAGATTCTGCCTCCTCACTGGGCAATAAATGAAGCCTGAGTCCCAAGAGGGGCAATTACAGAGCAAGCCAGTTCAGAGAGGAGAGCACAACTCGCTACTCCATTTTAAACATGCTCTTATTTTAGAGGAAAAAGGAACAAAGCAGAAATCTGACCTTGTTAAAGAGGATTTTCAAATCAAAACACCAACAATACCCTGGAGTGGCCTGGAGAAACCAGATTTGCAAACAGCAGCGAGGAGAACAAAAGCTCAAGTCAACGGACAAGATGGAGGAGGAGGGAGAAAACGTGTAAAATTACATTTATGTAGCGTTGGATTTTACTGAAAAAACGTTAGATTTAGACTCAGCTTCCAAAAAAATGCACTGCAAAACAGGAAATCTTACTATTAGTCTGGTTTCTAGTGCAACTATCTTATTACACTTTAATTTATAATATAGGAAAAATGTCTTGTTATAAGTGAAATAATCTGCCAAAGGAGCAAGTACTTTTTCAGCAGTTTTAAGGAATTATTCACTAAATACAAGCTGAAAAGTTATTTGTATGTTAGTTTTGTTTTGCCTCATGTGTGCCAAAATATTTGCAACAGAACAAAAATATGTTTTTTGATGGTGGCTTTTGAATAGTAAGTCAACAACAAAGCAAAACAGTGAAAGATGTCAGCTGACCAAAGGTGCTGGAGCACCGCGTGGGTTGCTAGGTAACACTCCAGGCTCAGCTGGGGTTGCTAGGAAACGGCACAGTGACTCAAAATGTTACAATTTAAATTCTTTGGTCAGATTTTCAGTTTTTTCTTTTCCACATTATGTTTCTTTTTGTAGAATCTGTTTAGTTTTTTAGACCGGAGTATTGATGATCTTTGCATCTGGATTGCTACATCTATGTGATTTAATAAAAATAATTGTTATTGCAGTGAAATTGCGCAATTTTATATTGTCAGCAGAAAAACAGCTATACTCAACGACAACAAAAAAAAAAATGTTTCGCATTTTCTTTTATTGTGAATAGTCAAGTTAGTAGACATATTTTCATTTTCTACTCCTATTTTATGTTGCTTTGGTTTTGTTTTTCTTAATCAAAATGGTTGTAACATTTCTTTTTAGCAAATGTTAAAGCTTTTACCATTTTCCCAACATATTTTGTATCTTTAGCTGCCCACTTATGCCCTTAAATTTAATTAGGCTCATCCCAAACACTTCCAAACCTTCCCAGTGGGATCGTTTGACTCCCTGCGCTGTTTATGTAAGTAAGTTTGCTGACGCTGGGAGGATTGCTCCCCTTTGCTCCTCATCAGC